TTTATTCTTAGATCCTTTGAAGATTAAGGGTGAAGGAGAGATGGGAGGAAACATGGACCTCCTGCACAAAGCACATAGACAAGTCCAGAGCCAGGAAACCTTGGTTTCTAAGGAACAAGTCACTTAGAATCACAGCATGTCTCATGAAAGGACCCCCAAAATTACAGAGTCCAAGTTACTATTTAACAGCTTGGGACACAGACCAAGGGAAGGGACATGGCTTTCCCAGAGACATATGTTGATGTTGTTAAGTGCTGTCCAGTTGATACGGATTCAGTGACCCTATGCACAACAAAATGAAACACTGCTCAGTCCTTGCACCAACTTCACAATCATTGCCATGCTTGAGCCCATTACTGCTGCCACTGTGCCAATCGATCTATTTGGGTGTCTTCCTGTTTTTCACTGACCCTCCACTTTACCAAGCATGATACCCTTCTCCAAGGACTAGTCCCTCTTGAAATAAGTCCAAAGTATGAGAGACGAAGTCTGGCCATCCTGGCTTCTAAGGAGCACTCTGGCTCAACTTCTTCCAACACAAATTTGTTTGTTATTTTGGCAACCCATGGTACTTTTAATATTCTCCTCCAACACCATAACTCAAATGCATCAATTCTTCTATGGTCTTTCTTATTCATTGTTCAACTGGCACATGTATATGAAACTACTGACAATACCATGGTTTGGGTCAGGGGCAACTTAGTCCTCACACTGACATCTTTGCTCTTTAAACACTTTAAAGAGGGCTTATGCAGCAGATTTGCCTAATGCAGTACATATGAGGATAAATCAAGAAGTATTGTTTTAGGGTTCCAGTTCACACATGTACAGGTTTATTTCAAATAAATGTGTTTAAACATGTTTCTGTAGACAAATTCTCTCAGTAATACACTTGTCTTAGTCTCTTAAGGTGCCTTCAAACAAAAGATCCAATTGAAACAGTGACTTCTGAGAGGATCTAGTGGGCCAGTTAAATTCAAGGCAGAGAGTTCAGCTCAGGTTATGGTGACTATTTTTTTGGGGGGGGGAGGGGGTGGAATTCCAAAGGGATAATCTTGATAGATTTTCTTGAAGGGCACAAGACAATCATGAAAACTGCATTGCTGAAAAAAAGGCCGGAAAATTGCGCTTAGAAATTTTTTCCCATCACTACAATATATTTGGTGAGCTCTGGTAGTGTAGTGGTTACGAATCGGGCTGCGAACCTTAAGGTCAGCGGTTCGAAACTACCAGCTGCTCCACGGGAGAAAGATGAGGCTTTCTACTCCCGTAAAGATTTATACCCTCGGAAACCCTGTACAGGGTCGCTATGGGTCGGAACCGACTCGACGGCACTTAACAACAACAACAACACAATGTATTTACTCATAGCCAAGGGCTGTCCTATGGAAATTTTGTTGGGAAACCTTATCCTATCTGACCTACAGCCCAGATCTTGCCCCTGCAGACTTCTTTTTGTTCTTAAAATTCAAAGTACATTTAAAAGGAATACAATTTGAGTCCCTAGAGGATGCCAAAATTGCTGTTTTGACATTGTTGTGTGCCGTGGAGTTGGTTCCGACTCATAACGACCCTGGTACAGGGTTTCTGAGGCTGTAAATCTTTACAGGAGCAGAACACCTCATCTTTCTCCTGTGGAACAGCTGGTAGTTTCAAACTGCTGACCTTGCGGTTGGCAGCCCGATTCTTAACCACTACACTACCAGAGCTCCTTGTTTTGACATAGTGTACATCAAAGAGCAGAGTTCTTCAGGAAAGGGTTAGAAAGATGGAAACACCATCTTCAGAGAGTTGGAAGGTGTATAGGCCTAGGTAGATGACATGTCAAGAAACAATATGTTACTTTTGATATTTTTAAGGAAAGTGTCTAGGATCTAGCAATTCTTTTTGACTGAACTGAGCAAGAGTGATAGCCATGCCTGGTCCCAAAGTGAAGTATGCTGGGAATCTGTAGACTTGACTTCTCTAGAGGAGACCCACAGAGTTGAGTGTCCTGTCCATTCCTGTGAGTAGGGTGGCCTCTGAGGTTTGGTAGTGGCCTAGTCTCCTCTCTCAGCTCTTCCATCCCTTCTGGGGTCCTCAGTCCTCTCCTCTTCAGATACTCTGTTCCAAAGATGGGCATCCTGGGCTCACTTTTCTCCCTGCAGTAAGTCTCTAGTCTTTTTTTTACTTCCTTCCTGGATTCCTGCTTCACTCCAGCAACACTGCCACTGTTCGCTGCTCCACTCCCCACCACCACCACCACCACCAGCCTCTCATCTGCCCTCACCAGCACAAGGACCTTAGCTGGACTGGACTGGGCTACAACCACCCACAGGGATATACGTCCTCAAGAATTTGTCCCTTCCAGGATTAACAAGGGTTACCCAGTAGGAGGACAGACCCAGTCAGTGTCAGATTATCCAATAATCAGAAGCTTCCTTATATCCGATGCTAATATACAGTGAACAACCTCACATATTTTCACCACATCAAAGATTCTGCTTCTAGTTATGACTACCATCTGTCTCTCTCCCAATTCCATAACACCTTTCTACAGATTCAAAGCCTCTTTTCAGATGTACAATCCCTGATAGGGAGAGAGGATCCATTAAGCAAGGTACATAAGGTACAAATAAGCTTATATGTGCTTATTTACCAATCTGTAGTGAATGCTTTCACCTATTTTCCACCACATCTTTGAAATTGTTCACTACAAATTCTCAGTTTTCAAGGTTTCCAAGGCTGTAATATTTATGGGAGCAGACTGTCTCCCTATTACGGAGTGACTGGTGGGTTCAAAATGCCAACCTTTCAGTTAGCTGCCCAGTGCTTAAGCACGGCACCATCTACAGCATCTATATACTCTGCAAATGAATCATCTGCTGCAAATATCTTCTCCCAGTTTCTGGGAGAAGTGTGAATAAAGTGTGCACTTGATTATGATGATTTAACAGAAGAGTTTTATTGTGAATACATTTCTCGATCTTTTCCTTTACATTCTGCTTTTATTTCTTAAGAAATCTCTCCAGACCTTGAGGTAATCATATTCTCCTATGTTGCCTTCAAAATGGTTTCAAGCTTTACTTTTTTTTTTTTTTAATTATAATGTGCATATTTTTTTTAAAAAAGGTTTTTATTGTGGATTGAGTAAAAGTTTACAGGACATCAGTTTTACATACAAAAAACCATACATCTTGTTTCATTACAATGATTAGAATCCCCTCCATGTACCATCGGTTAACAATATTTCTCTCTATTTACTTTAGTTTTTTTTTTTTTTTTTTTAACATTCAGGCATACATAATAATTTACACCACCAAAGGGCACATTCTGCAAGTCTGCCTCCTTGCCACCAGCTCTCAGTCCCTCTCTTCCCTTGAATCTAGAGCCCTCAGCTGCTCCCTCTCTCCATGTCCCCATCTCTGCCTACTCCTCTGGTGTCACTGCTTCTCTGGATAAGGTCTCACATTCCGCTTGTGCTCTTCTCCCTTGATGGTCCTAGAGTCCTTCAAGCTTTACTTTTAATATTTAGGCCTTTAATAGTCCTGGTGTGGCGCTGTGAGTTAATGCACCAGACTGCAAAGCCATTTGAACTACAAGGTCGCTGGTTCAAGCTCACCAGCCACTCTTTGGAAACCCTATACAGGGTCACTATGAATCGGAACCAACTCAACAGCACTTTAACAACAACAATCTTGCAGTTAGCAGACCAATGCTTATCCTACAATGCCACCAGGGCTCCTTAGGGTGTGAAGAGGGGTCCAATTTACTTTCTTTGTGGCCTACCAGTTGTCCTAGCATACTTTAGCAAGTAGTTCATTATACAACCCTCCCCTGCCAACCACAGCTCTTCCTCTGACATTCACCAGGTATGTACTGTTTGGGTAGTTCCTGGCCCATTCCCTTGCCTTATTTTCCTATCTTTGGGTCAATATCACCCTATCTCATTCTTCCCATTTTACCCTACTCCAGGGCTGTTTTTAGCAATTTGAGATGGTGATTATAGGACATTCCCTGGAAAATGCTTTCAGCTTCACTTATGTTTGACATTTTGCAAAATTTAAATTAAAATTTCATATTAACAAACAACGGAGCCTTGCCTTATCTGGCTTCTGCCTAGAACAAGGTGCAACTTCTACAGGCTCAGATTTCAGACTGAGCCAGCCCCAGCAGCTCCACCCCTTCCCTAGAGAAAATGATGAGTTTGAGGACGGTACAAGGATCTTTCACCAACAGGTAAAATAAATATTCACAATGAGTTGCTGAGGGTGAGACAGTGCTGGTCTTACAGTACCAATTTCATTGCCAGCAGAGGGAAGTGACTTGCCCGAGGACAGGGTCTTTCTGCCCCACTGAAGTGCTGCATCTATCCTGCTTCCTCTAGTCTCCGGTCCCCAGTCCGGCTGCTACCTACTTCTCCTGTCTGCCTCCCAGCCCATCTCTGGATCTCTGCCTCCTGGCGTTGGGGGCTGGTAGGTCCCTTAGAGAATCCAAGGAGTACCTGCCCTGGTTCCGCTGTGGAAGGAAGGTCCAGGGAAGAGGGGGCAAGACTTGGCTCAGCCTACACTGTGGGTCCGTCAGGCGGTAGCAGAACACGGGCCAGCCACGAGGTCCCCCCACGTTCCTCCAGACCGCGTTCCTACCCTTCTCAGGCCCAAGTCGTACCACCACCTGCCTCGTTCGTCCCTTCCACCTATCCTGTCTATTTGACAAGACTGCAGGCTGCGAGCACCTTCCCCTCTCAAACTTCCTACCACTGCACCGTGGTCCGGGCTCCGCCCCCTCCTCAACCTCCCCCAGCCGCTGGGCTGGGTTTCTCCGTGGTCGCCAGGGGGCGCGCGCGGTCCAGCCAAGGCGCAGAGACCACTGAGCACCACTGGGTCCCCATGGCGCCCCGCCCTGTCCGGCCATAGCCCCGCCCCTCCCGGCGCCCCGCCCCGTCCGGCCGCAGCCTTTCTCTCTGTTGCTCTCGCTCTCGGGACTCCCGGCTCCTTCTTGTCCGCCCGCCAGGTCTGGCCATGGGACCCGCCGCTTGCCCCGCGCTGAGGTCGCCGCCGCCGCCGCCGCCGCCGCCGCCGTCGCCGCTGCTGCTGTTGCTACCACTGCTACCGCTCTGGCTGGGCCTGGCGGGCCCCGGGGCCGCGGCGGACGGTGGCGAGCCCACGGCCGGGGCGGGGCGGGGCGGGGCCCGCGCCGTGCAGGTGGACGTGAGGCTACCGCGGCCGGACGTACTGCGCCTGGAGGGTGTTAGGATCGGCCCCGAAGTGGACCCGGTGCCCGCGCTGCATGGCCGCCTGCTGCTGGTGAGCGCCTCTGCGGTTTCTCCACCTGGGTCGGTGTAGACTGGGCCTCCGCGGCCTCTCTGGCACTCCTTCCAGAACCCTGCTCCACCAAAATCCCGCACCCAGATCTCGCCTCCATTCTGAATGAGGCGATGACAGCGCAGCACCCTCTGCCAAGTCTGCCCAGGCTTCGAAACCTGGAACCCAGATGCTCGCCCCTCCAAACACATCCCCAAACCCTAGCCTGCACCCCTGTGCGCCCGGACCCAGTACTCCCTTCTACTCCCTCTTGGTCTGCCCATGGCCCCTCACCCGCAGATGGACATGGTGGATGCCGAGCAGGAGGTGCCCGCGGAAGACTGGATTGCAGTGGCCTACGTGGGCAAGGAGCAGGCAGCCCAGTTCCACCAGGAAAGCCAGGGCAGTGGTCCCCAGGCCTGTCCCAAGGCCCTTGTCCAGCAGGTGCGGGTATTGTGGAGAGGGGAGCTGAAGGGTTATGTGCTGAAACTACCAGATAGGCCTCCCTGAAGTTTTCAGAACAGGGGGCCTCAGTTTGGAGAATTGTGTCAATATGGTATTGCAGGAAAGTGGGAGGAGTAGGTTAGGAAGCTGGACCAGGAGATCGAAGGGGATTCCTGGCAGGGGGAGGTAGGGTAGCCTGTCCTGTTAGCATGAGAAAAGGCACAGCATTGTTTGGGTCCCACAGAATATGGGGATGGGCAGAAGGAAGAGAAGTTTCTACCCTTGGCCCAGCCCTCAGAGAAGGGGCTCATTGCAGAGGCCGAAGTTAGAAGGTGTTGGCCACAGGTGTCCAGAGAGTGGGAATGTGAGCAGGTGTGTGCTAGCCTCCTGCCTTTTGTTGTGCAGATGCGGCGGGCCCTCTTCCTAGGAGCCTCTGCTCTGCTTCTCCTCATCCTGAACCACAATGTGGTCCGAGAGGTGAGCCGCAAGCAAGTGGTGGGGTACAGGTTGTGTGGGGGGACCACAACCTGCTGATCTCCCTGTTCCCCTGCAGCTGGACATAACCCAGCTTCTGCTCAGGCCGGTGATTGTCCTTCATTACTCTTCCAACGTCACCAAGCTGTTGGAGGCACTGCTGCAGTAAGTTGGGGTGTGGACTCTCCGAGGAGTAGGCCTGGGTGTTGAGGCTTTCCATCTCTGCCATGGGCTCAGAGGTCTCGGGACCACAGCTTTTCCTGATGACCTGAAGACTAGTCACCAGGTCTGAAAACTTGGTGAGGGGAACAAAGGAGGAGCGAGGACCTAGAGGGAGAAGTCGGGAGTCCCTGTGCACAGAGGGAATTGGCCCAGGATAGAAAAAGCTGGACACTTGATTGATAGGCTAATCTCTGGGCTTAACGAACGATGTTTGTGCCCTTGCATGTAGCATGTAGAAACAGAAAGGCCAATGGCAGGACTAAGTGTGGACGTACAAGGGCCCTTTCCTCTGACCCCTCTCTGGTTCTCCCTTCCAGGAGGACCCAGGTCACTGCTGAGATCACCAGCGGAGAGGCCCTGTCAGCCAACATTGAGTGGAAGCTGACTTTGTGGACTGCCTGTGGCCTCTCCAAGGATGGTTATGGAGGCTGGCAGGACTTGGTGTGCCTGGGAGGCAGCCGTGCCCAGGAGCAGGTGGGTCTCGGGACAGTACAGGGCCATTTGCTGACCCCACACACCTCTGGAAGCCCTGTGCTGGGCCTCTAGCTGGGTTTGGCCATTGGCATAGATACCCTTTTTCTCTGATACCACATGTCCTATCTAGCAGAGCATTTACTCATCGGACCTGTCTTCTTTGGAAAGCTCTTTCTAAGTCACACACTGACTCTTTGTAGGGCTCCTACGACAGCCCCATTTGTATAAGTTTTGGGGTACATGACTTTGTCTCCTGAGGGACTGGCTCTTGTCTCTGGATTTTTCATTTCTTGCCATCAGGGGAGTCCAGTGGTGGTCTGTGTGTATTTATTGAGCACCTACTCTGTGTGGGGCGAGTATGCCTATCTGCATGCAGTTTCCAGCAGGTGTAGCAGGCACGGGCAGTGTGAGGAGGCCTCAAATCAGGCAGAAAGCCAAACCAGTGGCTGGGGAATCAAGTTGGCTCCAACTCTTGGAGACCTCACGTGTATTAGAGTAGAACTTTGTTCCGTAGAGTTTTCATGGCTGTGATCTTTCGAAAGCAGATCACCGGTCCTTTCTTCTGAGGCTCCCCTGGGTGGGTTCAAACTGCCAACCTTTTGGTTAGTAGCCAAGAGCTTAACTCTTTTCGCCACCCAGACTCAGGTCTAAAGTCTGACTCTGAAACATCAGTGGCATGATCTTGGGCTACGTGCTTTGCCTCTCTGGGTTTTATTCTCCTCATCTGTAGACAGGGACAGTATAGTAACCACAGGGTGTCTGGGGATAGTGTGTGTAAACCACTTAACTCCCAGCGGGTGCTGAGCAAACAGGCGCTGAGAATGTTTTTTGCTCTAAGTGCTTGAATAAATGCAAACGTTGTTACCATACCAGTTTTGGAGTTCCTCGGACATGTGGGGCTGGGTACAAAGGCTGTGAAGGTTACTTTGAAGCGCCTGTGAGGCCCTGTCTGTACTCTTGTTGGCCTCAGAGACAAGCAGGGAAGAAGGGACTTGAACTCTGAATGGACATTGTCAAGTCAGCTTGGACAGCTTTGTCGGGTAGCGAAGGGCTTCCTGGAAGAGGAGGAGGCTCTAGTGAATGTCAGCCATGAGGGCAGCCCACAGATGTCTAGACAGATAGGTACTTGGTGAGGGCCCTGGAGGATGTGCCAGCAAAAAGACTAGAGTGAAAGAGGGGAGCAAGCAGGAAGGCAGCCCGGGAAGGCTGGAGTGTTGCTTTTGACCCAGTGGGCTGACTGGAACCAGGGACATAGCCCAATAGCTATGACTGTACAGCTGGCTGGGGTGTTCAAAGGATGCCTGGGGCCAGCATCTCAGTTGGTGGATCTGATGCTCAGCCTAAACCCCAGGGCCTCTCTGGCCCCCAGGAGCTCAGAGAATTGCAGCACCCATGGTTCTTGACAGTGTGAACAAACACTTCCCCAGCCGCATCCTCCCTCCTCACCTAGGGAAGGTCAAGATGTGGTGAGCCTGGCTGGTTGATTCTCTGGCTTACAGTGGAGGTCCAGGCTGTTCACGTGCTTGGGCCACTCAGCACCCTCTGGCCACCCCTAGGAAACAGAAGTCTAGAGCAAGTGTGCCATTGGAGAACTTGCCATATTATAGCCCTGTCAGCCTGACTCAGGATGGCCTGGCTCCCAGGACTCACCTGGGGAGCAGATAGGCCAGAGACACTGTCACTCTACTGAGCAGAGGCGGGACATAGCTAAGGCCCTGAGCCCAGGCTAGGATTGTTGCTGGAGTAGAAGGGAGTGCAGGGCAGAGGGGAGAGCCAGGCTCACGGACACCTCTTGGTAACAGTTCCCTCTAAATAAGAGCCGCATCTTGTGTCACCAGCAGCAGAATGGGGCCCTCTTTTGACATCCATTCATTCCTGGGCCCTTGCCCCCATGACAGTACTCAAACTTGAGCATTTGTTGGGGAAGGACATGATGACAGAGAGCCCCTAAGGCTGCAGAAAACTTTTACTTGCACTTTATTTACTGCCTTATTAGTTACTGATAGGTTGGCAGTTTGAACTCATCAACCACTCCTGTGAAACCCTATACGAGGTCATGATGAGTCGGAACTGACTTGATGGCGCTTAACAACAGACTCTGAGGAAGTGTGCTTGGAGCAGGATCATTGTGAAGTTAAATCAAGGTCACTGTAGCTCCCCAAAGGAGTCCTGGTGGCACTGTGGGTTAGGCATTGGGCTGCTTACCACAAGATCTGTGACTTAAACCCATCAGCTGCTCCTCAGGAGAATCATGAGGGTATCTGCTCCTATAAAGATTTATTGTCTTGGAAACCCTATATACGGTCACTATGAATTAGAATTGACTCGATGGAGGTGGGGGTTTTTTTTTGGTAGTCCGCAATCACTCTGAGGCTACGTGGGAGTCCAGGACCCACAAGTTTTCAAGTATCCTCCTAGTTGTCTTTCCCTAAGTGTGGTACTAGGGCTGCTTGGGGACCCCATCAGACACAGTTCCAACCAACAGGCAGCCAGGAAATGTACAATCTGAATTAGGTCTGAAGGGAGTGGAAGCCCGAAGGAGAAGCAGGCAGAAATGCTTCTCAAAACTGGGGAGGCCTAAAGGCAGTAGCCGGGAAAGGGAGTGTGGGGGAAGGTGCGGGTGTGGAGGGCAAGGACCATAGGGCCTACAGAGGAGGGAAACTGAGGTGAACCACTGTCTGATGTGCATCGCAGGGCCAGACCAGGCCGAGTTGAGTTCAGGTCCTCTTGAGAACAGGGACTGGCTGCAGAGTGGGGTTGCCAACAGATAATCTGGTCAGGTCCCTCTGGCTGCCTGGTGGGAATGGGCCGGCAAGAAGAGGCCGGGCACCAGAGAGCCGCAGAGAGTCTTGGGGTCGGGGGAAGGGAGCATGAGAGACCTAGGAGAGCAGCAACAGGAAAGAGACCCAGCTCACTCTGTGAGGGAGTGAGAATGCAAGGCTAGAATGGGCTGTGATGGTGGACACCAAGAAAGCAAACCGACAGCAAGTATGAGGTCCAGGGGTGGGGAGTCAGGAGCTTCTGAATAGATACTTCCTACATGTACAGAAACACAGGGTTTGTTGCTCAGGAGAGATTTGAACTGGGAGATGAAGAGATGTGTAGGGTGAAGAGAAGGCAACTTGGGGCAGACCTGGGGGTCTTGCACGTTGGACACACAGAGGTGGCAAAAGAGGGAGCTGGGAGCATGCAGTGACTCAGCCCTGTGTGTGCTCACATGCCTAATGCTCTGGGGATGGTCATTATGAGGGAAGACTGCAGGCAGCAGCAGGCTCTGACACCTTGCTCCCCTTCCAGAATCCTCTGCAGCAGCTGTGGAATGCCATCCTGCTGGTGGCCATGCTCCTGTGCACTGGCCTCATGGTCCAGGCCCAGCGGCAGGCATCACGGCAGAGCCAGCATGAGCCTGGAGGCCAGGTGGGAGCCCTGGGGGACGCCTGGGAGAGTCCTAGCCATCTCAAGCCTTCATGCCAGCAAGACTGCCCCCCCACCCCACCCCCAGGTGGACCTGTTCAAGCGCCGCATGTTGCAGAGACTGGCGTCCCTCAAGACCCGGCGCTGTCGTCTGGGCCGGGCAGCACAGGGACCCTCGGAGCTAGGCATCGAGACCTGCGCTGTGTGTCTGGACCACTTCTGCCATAAGCAGGTTAGCGTCCCAGGCAGAGATCCATGATGTCCTCCACCCTAGTCCAGTGAGATTCCAACCAGCCTACCTAGGCACCAGGGCTATAGAATTGGGGAGGGAACAGGCCAGCCATGGGGGCTTTAGTTTCCAGCTCAGGTGTGGGGCATGGGGTTGGGCACCTACATTGGCATCCTCTCTCTCCCCTGCAGTGGCTCCGGGTGCTACCCTGTAAGCACGAGTTCCATCGAGACTGCGTGGACCCCTGGTTGCTGCTTCAGCAGACCTGCCCGCTGTGCAAGTTCAACGTGCTGGGTGAGCAGGGTTGGGGGCCCTTGACCGATGCTACTTGGGCCTCATCTGACGCCTCTCTCTCTCTCTCTCTCTCTCTCCGCTTTCCTTCCTCCGCTGTAGGGAATCACTACTCAGATGACTAGCTGCCTGCCTGTACCCTGGCCTCCTGAAACAGGACTGCAGGGTAGATGGGACAGAGGTCCTTGTGGGTGGCATGAAGGGCCCCTCCCCCGCTGAGGGGCAATGTGCCCAACTGTGTTCCCAAGACAGGATGCAGGGCTGGGACCAGTGAGTCCAGGAAGAGAGCCTGCTAGGGGCCTTCTCTGTGACCCTGCACCTTCTCACCTGCCAACCTCACAGGCAGCTCCTGAGCAGAAGCTGAGCCGAGAGGGCAAGAAACGGCACCGCTGTTTCTGGCCAGGCTCAGGGGCATCCCTGGAGACTGGAGCTGCAGTATTTTGTGTTTATTTATTGGGGGGCGGGTTTGGGAAGGAACTTTTCTGGCCTTGGGGGCACCCTGGCCTGACCATCTTTCAGGACACACCTCAGTTATGTCTGTGAAGTGAGACCTGGAGACCCTGCCTTGCCAGCTGTCAACTGCAGCAGGTCCCACTGTTCACCCAACTGGTCTCCCTCCCTGGACCTGGATGGGATTAGAGACCTTAGACACATTCAGTCCTGTGCTTCTCAGCTGGGGACACATGTGCCAAGTGGGATGCCTGAAGTCACAGATAGATGTGGTACATCTTCCAGGGTGTCGGGTTTTTTAGGGAAGATTTGGGATGGGGAAGGTTTACTATTAAAATAAACATGGATATATTTTAACAGAAGATAAAAAATTTTTGTGGATTTTTTTTTTTAATAATAAAAGTTACCTTGGACATAGCCATGGTGGGCTAGAGCTGAGAGTGAAGCATCTAGCTGATAAGAAGTGAGAGGAGACACACAAGAAAGCCCAAACTTGCAGACAGTACCCACTCAACCTAGCTTCTGTGGCTTGATTATCAGAACTTGACTAGAGGAAGATAAAAAAAATTTGACAAAGGAAACAATTTGATGAACTTGACCTATACTATACCTATCTTACATTCCAGGATGTCTGTAGTAGCTCAAAATACCAACTGAAAGGGAAGGAATCTTCACATCAAGGATCAGTCCCATCCCTTCTGTACACAGGATTGATAGGGATGGGCAACTTAGACACTGGCTACCTAAAATGGGGGCACTATAAAGACACAAGGAGTCCTGGTCGCTGTGGGCAAATGCGTCAGGCTGCAAAGTCGTTTGAACTGCAAGATCGGTGGTTCAAGCTCACCAGCTGCTCCTTGGAAACCCTACACAGGGTCGCTGTGGGTTGGAATCAACTCAATGGCATTTAACAACAACAATAAAGGCATGAAGTGACAGGCTTACAAGTTTGCAAGAAGGAGTTGAGTTTCAGAGTGTACAGGGGATGGTAGAATCCCCACTGAAGAGTTTTTATCTTGTCTAGTTGGGTCTGGTGAAAGGAAATGGGGATAAGATTCTTGCGATTCAAAATTACCATGACTAATTGCTACTGTCACGATTGTAAAGGTAGAAGTTTTGTAGGGAAAAGCGGGGAGTGGTTAATCTTACATTCCAGGATAAGAGGACCAGAGGACCATCAAGGGAGAAGAGCACGAGAGGAATATAGGACCCTATCCAGAGAAACAGCAGCAACAGAGATGGAAGCAGAGATGAGGACTCTAGACTCATCGAAAAGAGAAAGGTTATGTACTGGCAGCCAGGAGACAGGCTTGCAGAATGTGTCCTTTGGTTTGTTTAAATAATTATATATTCCTGAGTGTTTTTGTGTACATCCAAAGAAAAATAGGGAATAGAAACAAATAATGTTGAATGATGATGCATGGAGGGGGTTGTAATCATTGCAATGAAACGATGAGTGTAAAACTGATGTTCTCCCATGTAAACTATCATTCAATTCATAATAAAAAAAAGTCACCTTGAGCTGTACTGCCTGCAGGGGGTAGACTTTTTGTGCTCACTCCCATGGAATTGTTAGAATTGTGATTACACTGGATTTTCCTGCTGTGGTTCAGTTGTATTCTATGACACTGAACCAGAAAGTCCTGACCTAATCACACAAGCATTTGAATGACAAGCAGAGCTTTTCCAGCTGATGGAAGAAGAGGAAGTCAGATTTGAAGCAGGAAGGGGATTCAATGCATGAGAAACTCTTAACTGACTTGCAGGTGAAGAGGACCATGTGGCAAGGACTATCTATGGATGGCCTCTAGGTGCTGAGGGGCACCCAACTGATAGCCAGTCAACTCCTACAGTGGCAAGGAGCTGAATTTGGCCAACAACTAGAAGGCGCTTAGAAGTGGATTGTGCCCCGGAGCCTTCAGCTAGAAACTTAAACTGACAGATACTTTGATTTCATCTTCTAAGATCCTGAGCAGAGAAGCCTGCCACATAGGATGGGACTTCCGATCTACGGAACTGTGAGCTAATGACACTAAGTAGGGGGGAGTCTGAGAGAAGAACCGACCTATGAAAAGTTTTTCACCTGGACTAGACGGCTACTTCAGCAGGGGAAACTTTCATCTGGGGGAGTCTGTTCTGAGAAGCCCCCAGTGAGGTCTCTGAGGCTCTTCTCAGCTGAGGTGACTCAAGGCAGAAAAGTGGACTACTTTGGGCCTGGTGTGGCTGGTGACATCAGTGGCTGGGCAGACCCCCAAGGCACAAACCCGGGAGTGCCAGTACTGACTGAGGTGTCCACCTCACTGGCTGGGCGAGGTCTTGCCCTCAGCGGCCTCCTGGGAGTGTCACCTCTGCATTTAAAGCAGTCCCTTTTCCCTCACCTGTTCCTGGAGGTGGGAGCTCCGCTGAGGAGGGCTAATGTCCATGAATCCAATGTTCCTTCCCCAGGCCTCAGCAGCCCCAACCCAAGAAGTGGAAGGAAGGATCCTTTCCCTGTGTAGTCAGTGCTATGAGGCAAAGGCAGTGGTGGGCAGGTGGCCGGGGAATTTATTACACTGGATGGGTAGCCAGCCACCTACCCCCCATGAGTTGTACTGCTATGGCAGGCTACGTGGGCCGCTCCTGGGGCTGGTATGTAGAGCCTGCCTGGCCCCGACAAGGTGAGAGTCTTCTCCTCAGCCTGGCCAAGGCTCGGATGGGGTTCTGGGAGCAGATGGCTGAGTGGGGTACATCCTCCAGGGGGGACTTGCTAGGCTGGCTGCTGGGCTGCTGAGGTGGGGATGCTTGGGGCTGGCCTGACAGGGTCCTGCCCGCACTGCTCTTTCTACTGCTGGGTGGTGGCCGCCTGCCCAGGGACCTATGAGAAGACCAGATGATCAGAGTTGCTGTGAACAAGTCTAGACCCCCTGCCCCGTCTGCTACTTCTGGCAGAAGCCTCACTCACCCTGGGGAGGCTCTCCGGCCCTGGACTGGGTACACTGTTCTTGGGGTTCCCTCGGTGAGAGGACACCAGAGCTGGTCCTGGGGGATCAGCTGCAGAGAAAGCCATGCTCAGAGTCCCTGGATTGGCCTCCCCACTTTACAGAGGCAGTGTCATAACTGGATGTGAACCCAGACCCACAGCCCTTCCTTCTGAGGGCTAGGGTTAGGAAGCTTCCAGGCCTATGGGGGCAGGCTTGGAGCCAAGAGGAACTAGACTCTCCCTGTACCTTTTTGTGATGTGGAAGGCACTCAGCGGAGTCAGCATCACAATCCTGACCTAAAGCCCCAGGCAATGAGAGCCCATGGGTGAGGAGGCCAGTTCCCATAGTGCAGAATGATGACTTCTAACTGGGTGGGGAGCTTCCTTCAGGTTCCCGAGGGCCTGCCCTGTGATTTGGGAAGCGGACTGCCTACCTGGAGGCCCCCCTGCTGGGCCACCTCCCTGATCTTGGATAACATGGCCCGGAGCCGCCCGTTCTCTTCCTGCAGCACCTGGATGCGAATGTTGTTGGCCTGCACCTGCCTCTCCATGTCGTCCGTGACATTGCCGGAGCCTGTGGGAGACATGCTATCTGGGCCCCCACACTGACAGGCCTAACTCTCACACCAGATGGGAAAGCACCTCAGAGGGCAGGCACACCCATTTGGATGCCCCTTGGGTAGGTAGTCCATAGACCCAGGGAAGCTAGGCAGGGCTTGTTCTCCCTTTAACCCCTAGGAAGGTGACAGCATTGTAGAAACAAGAGAGCTAGGCGGGACCTAGAGCTCAGGGAAAACTTAGTAAACAGGCAAGGGGATGGGTCTCCACCACACCTGTTTCTGGAGCAAGCTGGCCAAGGTCACAGCAACTGAGGTATGGGATTTATCATGGAGCTCCCCCACTGCTGGCTAGTGATAGGTGCTTCTAGCTCATAATACCCCAAATCTGAGAAGGCTACTGCCTACCTTCCAGGGTGAGGGAAGGGTCTGGCACAGTCTGTGCTCAGGAGGAGAACTTAACCATGGTCACTGAATTGTGGCATATCTTCCCAGCAGCTTTGTGAATGAACTCACACATACTCCCTCTCCTCCCCCACATTTACCATGAAGGGCTGAGCATTAAAGGTCTAGAGGACCTGGGACAACAAGTCACCCAGCCCCCCATTCTGTGCCCAGATGGGTACTTAGTGCTCCTCTGTATTGTGGGGTTCAGGAATACCAGACAGCTGGGGCTATACCCCTGTGGTATACTTTGGGGAGGCTGCCAGGAAAGAACACCAGGAGGTCGAGTGAGCACCAGCGCTTGTGTGTGGTGGTTAACAGCAGGGGCCTCAAGGGCAGAGGCCTGTGTCTGCATCTAAATTTGGCTGTGACCTTGGGCAGTGGCCCTGGCTCTCTGGATGGAGAAGGTGCAAAGTCCATGTGTCTTGGGGCCCAGGAGTCAGCTCCCTCCTCTCCAGGGGCCTGCACTGCTGACTGCCCTGCTTTATGTGCCCAAGGGAGTCTCCACACTGTCCCAGAGCAGGCCCCTACTTTGGATTTGACTCTCCAGGGGCCTGTGCAGGTCCGGGAAGGCCACCAGCAGCCGCTCCCGCTCCTTCAGCTCCAGGAGCTCCCGTTCCAGCTCTGAGATGGTCAGCTGCAGGTCCGTAGCCCCTTGCTCCAAGTCTTGCTTCTCCCGCTGCAGGCTCTGCAGCAGTTCCTGGGGCAGCAGGAGGCTCAGGCCTGGCTCCCCAGGAATATGCCCAAACACAGACTCACACAGACAGACAGCTGGCTGGAGGGGGTACATGCCCTGCCCCATCACCCTGCCCCCACCTGCTGGGCCTGGAGTTGGCACTGCCCCTGTTCCTTCTCGCTCTGTAGACTCTGCAGCTGCTCCTCCACGTGGGCCCGTTGTGCCTCGGCCTCGGCCAGGCTGCCCTGAAGCTCCTCCCGCTCCTGGTCCAGGCTGTCTAGCTGCTGCAGCAACGCTCTCTGTTTGGTCTGCAGGGACTAAACAGGTCATAGAGGGAGTGGTGGTGGTGGGAGGCTCTGTGAGAACAAGGAGGCAGCACGAGCTCTGGCCTCTGAGCCCACTCCCCTGTGCCTGTCTGTGTGCATGGGGCACAGAGTCTCCTGGGCCCTAGCTCATGCTCTGTCCTACCATATTTCCTCTAGCTAATGGCCTAATCATCAGCCTTTGGTATCCAGGTCTAAAGACACCTCCTCCCTGAAACCTTTCTGGGTTTTAACAAGCAGATGGGTCCATCCCGCCCTGAGTTCCTGCAACACTTTCCCTAACCCATCCAATCATCTGGTGGAAGAGTTATTTGTGATACATCTGCTCATCATGGCTTCACCTGGTCTTACTGGTCTGTGGATTATCATGCCTCCATATTCAGCTCAGAGCAGGACCTCCACAAAGGTGAGTCAACCCAAAACTGAGTTGAATCTTGGGGAGTGGGCACCCTACCTAGAATGCTCCCTCCCCACCTGTGGATCCTCTCTTCCTGTAGCCCAGCCTCACCTCCTGGTGACGGACCATGCTGTCAACTCGGGCCTTCTCCTTGTCCAACTCTGTGCTGGCCCAACAGATCTGCTGGCTGGCCTCATCCAGCCGCCCTGCCAGCAGCTTCACCTGCCCCTCCAGTTGCTGCACCTGCCTCTCGGCCGCCATTCGGAGTTCAGCCTCTGCACACAGCTGCTGGGCCTTTGCCTCTGCAGGATTGAGTAGGCATGAGAAGGGGTTGGACTGGGCAGCTGTGGGTTCAAGGTCCAACACTGCCTTTGAGGAAGGCTAGAAAACAGGAGGCGCTCTCTGGACAGGAGGTGGCACCACTGTTCGTGCCTTCACCCAACAGTGTGGCCAGCTGTGTCCACCCTCCTGTCCCAGAAACCCAAGGGTCAAAGGGCGGCTCCTCACCTACAGCCTGCATGGACTCCTGCTTTTGCTTTAGCTCCCCCTCCAGGATGGTCATCTTTGTCTTCAAGTCACTTGTTTCTATGGCAGTGGAGAGAGAGGCCCTTCAGAGGCTCTCTGGGGCTGGGCCAGCTGCCTGATGCCCCACACACCCTGCAGAGGGGGCTGCACAGGGGTAGAGGGGGACTTGGGCAGTGCCAGGAGCATTGGGCCCAGGCCCACCCTGCTTTTACACCTCACTCATCCTTCAGGTCCTCCATGGAAAGGATAGCAAGGTTCAGAGAGGGCAGTGACTTGCCTGAACCTCTCAGGTCTTACCTCAATGGGTACTGGCCTGCCTTCTGTATCAGTAGCCGTATCCCTTTGCCTAATGGCTTTTGTCCTCCTGCAGAAACTGTTCTACTTGGCAGGAGGTGCCAGAGGCTCACCTCCCAGGGAGGAATTCTCAATGACAGGCAGGATAAGTACCCCAACACCCTCACCCCACTGAGGCTCGTGTTCTGGACAGTCCCCGGTGTTCTCAGTGGGATTCAGCATGGCCCACACCGATGGCCCACTGTGTGACTGGTTTGTTGAACGCACCCTTTGTGGCTATCTCTCTTCCCAACTACCCAGCCCTGGTTGCCTTGTCTTCGCACACAACCGGCTTGTACTTGGAGCCCTGCCTCGGGGTAACAGAGCCTCTGACCTACTAAGGGTCCGGCTTCTGGGGCACAGACCTGCAAGCAGCTGCTGCCTGTTGCTCTTCCACTCAGCCAGGTGCTGCTCAGCCTCCTCCGCCTGCTGCCGCCGTACCCCCTGTTCCTGCTCCAGAGCCTGCTCCAGCTCGCCCACCTGCTTCCTCAGTCCATCCTTCTGACCCTCGGCCTCCTCCAGCTGGGTTCGGAGGGGCCCGACCAGCTGCGTCAGGGCCCCCACATGCTTACTGAGGCGCATCAGGTCTTTGCTCTGCTCTGCCACCCAGCGGCCCACAGTGGCGGCCGGCAATGGCTTGAGCCCCATGCTGTCCTGTACCAGCTGCTGGAACTGACCTAAGGATGAGGGCAGGTTCTGGCTCTGACACAGGCTGATGACCACCTTGCCCACCTCCCGTAGGCTGCCCTGGACACTTGTGCATGCGTCACAGGGCACCAGGGCCGTCTCCACCGTCTGGGTGTGGATACTCCTGGTGCTCTTGGCAGTTTGGGATGGGCGCTGTTGGGAGACTCTGGTAGGAATGGTGTCCGCCTCTTCGCAGATTTGAGACAAGTCTGGTGTTGGAGAAGGCGGCTTGATAAACTTGGCTGTCACAAGTTCAGGACTCCTGGCTGGTTCACCCTTGGCTGTGGGCTTGGAGGTGGGCGTCTCCCCATGGTGTGCCCTTTTCTATGACCAGGAAAAGAACAGGAAAGCAGGTAAGGCCGATAGGCCTGGGATGTGACTAGCCTGCCTGAGACTCTGACTCACTCACGTGCTCCGACACCATCATGAATGAGAAAAAGAGCATACCCTCCTTCTTGGCTGACCCCTAGCTTTGATACAACTCTATGCCTGGTATTGGGAAGGGGACAATGACACTACCAGTGAACAGCTCTCTCACGTCACTACAGCGGTACTCAACGTGAGTTTCCTCCTAAAACTATGGGTGGATGGGGCCTTCCTTACAGAATAACCCATAGGAGATGTGAATTCATATTAATGTCATCGGCGGTAGGGATGACCCCACTATACAGATGAATAAACTGAGGTCTAAAGTCCCACCACATAAGTAGCTGAGTCTAATAGCCCAGGCACACTCCTTTAACCACTGGGCTATGTGGGCTTTGCTTGTGAGGCTCCAGAGTTTGCACTGTGCTTGCTGGGCAGTGGGGAGCCAGTGCAGGACATGGGACCACCACGGTGGTGTGCTAGCTGGCTGGGGCAGAGTGACATGGAGTTCTCAGGTGAACACAGAGGGACATTGGCCAAGACTTAGGGGAGGGGATAGGAAAGGGACCTACCCACCTGGGGAGCTGCCTGCTGGTAGAAAACACCCACCCTCAGCAGGCTGTTCCAGAAGCGCCGCACCGTCAGCCCCACAGACATGCAGGGCCCTGTGGCCTGGGTGGGGGGCACCGTCTGCTCCGAGCCCAGGTTCTCCAGGTAGTTCGTGCAGCTCTGAAGCAGTAGCAGAAGCCTGTGGGCAGAGATGTCAGAGCAGCCGGGCGGAAGCCAGCACACCACAGGACCACGTGCCTTCGAGCCCAGGCATTAGAGACTTGGAGAACCCAATCCAGGGGTCACTTCTTTCAGGGAGCCCTTCCCAACTCCTGGGCTCCTCTCAGGGGTCTCTTCTGGGCCTCCCAGTGTCTGCACTTCCCTATGGCTGACCCCCCACTGGACAGGGGAATCTCTGGGGAGCTCTGAGACCAGGCCTGGTTGCCCTAAGTACTCAGGAAGCAAGGTTGCCTTCCATCACACGGTACAGAGCCTACTCTTTCTGGGTGACATTGCTGAGAGCTTAGGGGAAGGGCCTGCCCATAGCCATGGGCACAAAGGGCAGGGCAGGGCAGGGGGCGAGTTCTGTGACAGTGGAGATAGTGAATGGAGGCAGGTTAAGTCCCAGACTAAAGCCAAATGGGTATAAGGCTGGTTCTGAGGGATGGGGAAGCCCCAGGAAAAGGACAGATAGACCCTTCTGGTAGGAGCCTGATGTGCTCCTGGCGTTACTTTCCTTCTCCACCCTCACTCCATCCGTGAGCATGACCAGAGCATCCCTAAATGCTATACTCAGGGCCACAGGTCAGGCTCCTAAGGGGCCTCCCTGTCCACAGGGCTCCCAGACTAGTCTTCATCCCAAACCCAGAGGCCTCTTCATGCTCACAGGGGTCTGAGGAGGTCCGACTACCTCAGCCAGGTGTGGGCAGGGGGCGGCGGGTGGATGCTCACATTAGCAACATCATCACAGTGGCCAGGAAAGGTGGATGGGGCCTTAAAGGATGAAGAGGACTTGACCAGACCCAGAGGGGGTGGGAAAGGCATTCCCACACAGTGCACAGCAAGTGCAAAGTCATGAAGAAATGAGGCATGTTCTGTGCTAACACATGGTCAGCCCATGTTATAAATGGTGTGTTCACACCAAGGACTCCCCTGGTTTCTCTCCTCTATATCTGTGCTGCCTGCCTGCCCCCTTCATTTCATTAGGGTGTTATTGGTGGTGCAGTGGTAGAATTCTTTGCTTCCTGGCCAGTGTAACTCATGTACAGCTAGCATTTATCTGTCAGTGGAGGCGTGCCTGATGCTCAGATGCTGAAGAGGTTTCAGGGCAGCATCTAGACTAAGAAGGACTAAGAAGAAGGGTCTGGTGATTTAATTCTAAGAATCAGCCAGTAACCCAATGGATCACAACAGTCCAATCTGCAATACATCCAGGGGATGGTGCAAGACTGGGTAGTGTTTCATCCCATTGTGCATGAAGTCATGAGCTGGGGGCCATGAACAACAACAGAGTTTTTGAGCACAGGAGGCTGGGCTGTGGGTCCTGGGAAGTGGAAGGCTGATGACCATGCTAACTTACATGATAGCATAGAATCCACCAGCCTCTTCCCAGCTAGGTCAGCCAAGATTTTGGAAAAGAATCCTGAGACTGGCTGTGTGACATGCCGAAGAGACAATGTAGCTACAGGATGCAGGATGAAGAGATGGATGGATAGAAATTCTACATGGCTACACACACACAAAACCCCCAGGAGGCAGCAGGATCAATAGGAGAGGACAGGTAGTTGGCAACCCCCTTCGGGTAGGAGCTGAGAACCAGGAAGTGTGGTCTCTGCTCCAAGTCCAGCAGGCGTTGGAGGGGCAGGGGCTCTGTAAACAAGGTCACTGAGAACCTAAGAGAGGAAGGGACTCCCCCAGACAACACAAGTTGGCAGAGGGGCTGGGATTAGAGCCCATGGCTCCCCACTCCCAGGCCAGGCTCTCTCTACCCCTCAAACCACAGAATCATTGATGATGAGCATCATGCAATGAGTGCTGGCTGCCTGTCTCTTCACAGACACCATCGCATTGCTCCTGAGTTGAGACTTACTCTCATCCCACTTTATGAACAAGGACAGAGGTGCTGTAGGACAAGCACTGGACTACAATGTCGATTCAAACCACAAGATCGGTGGTTCAAACCCACCAGCTGCTCGTCTGGAACCCTATAATAGGGTTACTATGAGTCGGAACTGACTTGACAGCACTTAACAACAACAACATAGATGAGGTCAGACAGGCGCTGTCACATGCTCTGTGTTCTATGGCAACATGGCCTCCTGCCGGTGCTGATCACCCAAGTCTGACATTCCCCATTTCACAGATGAGGGAAGAAGCCCAGAGCCCCAATATCACCTGGACCTGCTGCTGCATTACATTAGATAGGAATGAAAGTTGGCCCTCTGGGTGTGCTCAGGCCCCTCCAGCCACTGGCATATTCTATGTGAGCCTCTATTTCCTCATTCCTAGGTTAGGAGGCACATGCACCTCAACGTTAGAATGAATAAACAGTCTGAGGCCCCTCCACAGGGTAGCTATGTCATACTACCACAAAAATTAACCTCTAGAGTCACGTGCCCAGCCATAGACAGCGAGACTGAGAGGAAGAAACAGGTCCCAGGAAACCACATGTAGTATGACACCCTTTTTATAAAGGAGAAAGGGAAAACAGCTAACACGAGATGGCATGTTGTTTGGTATATAGTTCAGCACAACAAAGGCAGAGCAAGAACCACAGACTGAGGTCAGCGGGTCCCTCTGAGGAAGCTGCGGAAGGGTATGGAGGGCAGGGTGAAGTCACTGTCCTTGTGATGCATTCACAGATGTTCATGGTTGTTGTTATTGTTAAGTGCTGTCGAATTGGCTCCAACTCATAACAACCCTGTATAGGGTTTCTGAGGAGCAGCTGGTGAGCTTGAACTGCCAACCTTGTGGTTTAAACCAACCTTTAGGGCAGCACAAGGACTTTGAATGTCCGTTATATTCATTCAAACGTGAAATAAGAAAGGATCTACGAGAACTGTGATCACAAGCAAGCAGTTTTGGTTCTCCAAATCTGTACATCCACGATCCACCAAAGGAGCCCTGGGACACAATGAAGTACTCTGCTGTGAACTGCAAGGCTGGCAGATTGAACTCACTGAGCAGCTCCATGGGAGAAATACCTGGTGGTCTGCTTCTGAAAAGATGACAGCTGTGGCACTGTGTGTTAATGCACTGGACTGCAAGGTGTATTTGAACTGCAAGGTCGGTGGTTCAAGTTCACCAGCTGCTCCTCGGAAACCCTATACAGGGCCATTATGGGTTGGAACCAAATCGATGGCACTTAACAACAAGAAGAAAACGCTATGCGGCAGTTCTACTCTGTCACATAGGGTCGCTATGAGTTGAAATCAACTCAATGGCACCCTAATGACAACAAGGTCTATTGTTTTTGTTAAAGTGCCATTGAATTGGTTCTGACTCATCGTGACCCTGTGTAAGGGTTTCTGAGGAGCAACTGGTGGATTTGAACTGTCAACCTTGCTTACCTTACAGCTCATCCACACCAGGATACGACAAGGTCCATCAGATAATTGAAATAACAGAATATAAAATACAGCACAAAATATGGATAATTAGATCGAAATGAAATGAGACAAGCCTGAAGGGAGCTGGAATGGATGGTTACCCTGAGCTCCCAGCTGGTTCTGGCAGGTACCCGGTCAATTGGGACTGTTATAACATCATCATCTCCTCTGGATGGGGCTCTGGGGTGCATGCAAGGGGTCCGGTTGAGGTCCTCACCTGTCAATGACCAGCTCCAGCAGCACAGCATGGGATAGCTGCGTGAACTCGGGGTCACTGGGCACATGGTCATAGTGCTCCAACAAGGCCACCATGTCCAGGTCGCAGGCCACGCGGTCAGGGAACTTCCAGGAGGGGAAGCACACAGGCCCGGCACGGGAGAACACGTCCACGATGGTGCCCTGCAGGTCGGTGAGGTCTTTGCGCAGGCTGTCCATGCAGGCCTGGCTGCCCAGGAGGTGCGCCATCCTCACAGCTCCTGGCCAGGCAGAGAGGAGCCCCGTCAGCAGAGCAAGAGGAACCTTCCTAAAACCCTAATCAGCTGGGTTGCTCTGGGCCTGAAGTCCACCCCTAGACCCTGGAAGAAGCCCATTCCCAACCGTGGGTACCATCCCACGCCCCACACTCTGGTTACATCATGCCCCAAATACCTCCTGAGAGTCTGTGTGTGTTGGTCCCATGCTAACCCCTGGACAGATACAGCTGTAAACAGAATGTTTCTACAGTCCTTCCCTCCCAGGGCGGGCCATGAAACAACGCAGCTGACAAGTCGAAGAGTAGCAGCCCCAGAGTGACAGGGTGTTCTGACCACATCAGGCCACTGTCAATGCCCATCTGAACCACTTCAGCAGCTGACAGCTGTGCCACAGGCCTGCACGTTCCATCAGACCAACTCTGGCTGCCAGAGATCAGGGCCACACCCTACTTGACCACAACTTGCTGGCCAACCACCCCTCAAGTTCCTCCACAAACTATCTTCCTCTGTATCACGCCCTCTGTGCCACAGTCACCATCACAGCCACCACCAGCTCTGAGCAGCATCTTGTTTCTAAACCCCTGCTCATCATCAGTTCCCTGTCTGAAACATGCTTCCCTCCGATGCCTAACACCTGGCTAATTCCTCTTACCTTTCAGGGTTCCTCCACAAAGCCTTCCCTGAATACCCTCCAGTCTGGCTAAAATAAATCCTCCGGCTCCCCACATTCCACTCTCTGCTGGAAAGGCCTCCCCACTCCAGGTCAGTTCCTCAGCCCACCTGACTCACTGTGGTCTCCCCTATGTGAGTAGACTCCCACCTGGCCCACTGCTGAGGCTCACTGGTAAGTGAGTAAGTAAATGAAGAAAAGAATGAAAAATATCTGCAAAGAAAACTTAAAATGCACTGACATTTTTGGCACAGGGGGCAGGGAGGAAAGAGGGGGTAAGTTTGAAAGTGGAAAAACCTAAAGTTGTGCATTGAGCCCTATCCGAATGTCTCTGGTGACAGGGAGCTCTTTACATCTTACACAGAGCATCTTGTCCTGGTGCTTGGTTGTGCAGCCTCCTTGGACAAGTCACTGCTGCCTCCACTGTAAACTGAAGGCATGTCCCTGGTCAGACCGTGTTGTTCTGAGGACATTAAAATGTGCACTGGCAAGGCACCCAGTGAAAGCTCTCAAGCCATACTATTATCATGGCTATTAGTAGTAGTGGTGGTTGTATGCCACCAAGGTGGTTCCGACTCACAGCGACCCCGTATAGGGTTTCTGAGGCTGTAAATCTTTGTGGGAGTAGAAAGCCTCATCTTTTGCCTGCGGAGTAACTGGTAGATTCAAACTGTTGACCTTGTGATTATCAGTCCAACTCATAATCCACTATGCTATCAGGACTCCATTAGAAGTATAGTAGTAACAATAGTGAAGGTCATCCTTGTCTTGAGCAATACCGGGCTCTTACTCTCCCCTAATTCCCCTCCAGGTTATAAAGAATGCCTCTGTGCACATCTAAAGACAGAGACTTGGAGGCACTACTCACAGCCTCTGACTCCAAGGTGGAGATGCTGGCATTGCCTTGTCCCCACCAATGTGGTTCTCATGTTGCAGGGGTTTTACCCTCCAATAGTTAGCCGTTACATTTCAGAGCCCCCACTGTTGGGTGCTGAGCAGCTGTGTGGATGCTGAGCCCTGATCCCTCCCAACCCTGCCAGCAGGGGCTTCTGGTCCTTTTTGGATCTCTCAGCAGAAGAAAGCATCTCCTCCTGAAATGTAGGCGCTGCTGAGCAGTATTTAGGCCATGGTCTCCTATGGTGACCAGCATTTCCAGGTCTAGTTGGGAAACCTTCTGTTGCCCAAACCTCCTTCCTCTAGGCTCCCTCATCTCAGAAAACAGCATCCCATACCAGAGTGCACTGTGGCTCCCATCAAGCTTGAGTAAGCCCCTCAGGTGCCCTGATATCCAAGCACCAGATGCTGTCAACCCTCCATCCAGACCACACAGGAAATCTGCTGCTTCCATGGACCCTGGTCCAGACTTGAGTCTCTCCCCAGACCATTTGCTTCCCTCCTTGCCCAGTCCCACCCCTCCATTCTGTCCACGGCATGCTTGTTTCAGAAGGCAACCCACAGGCCCGTCGCCCCTGCTTAAAGCTGTTAGTGGCTTTCCATTAAAGACTGAACACTTCCTGTGGTTGGTCTCTGGGTACTGTGTGGTCTGCTGCCCACCTCCAGAATGCTCCCCCTCCCTACACTTCTCCTGGATAAGACAACTCCAACCCATCCAATGTCCCTCCTCAGAAAATCTCCCCAACTTTCCAGGCAAGGCTAAGTCACCTCTTAGACAATCTCAGAGGACCCTGTTCTTTTTCTTCCCAGCATACACCACCACTGACATGCCCTTTGAGGAAATTATGTGTGGTTGTCAGTCTACCTTCCTTTTGAGGGAGGACCTGGAAGCCTGGGAAGCTCAGTGTCACTCAGGGACGGCTTCTGAGGGCTGAGCTGGCCTCTCTGGCCTCCCAGAGGACTGGGCCCCGCCCTCACCTCTGTGCAGGTGCCTGCCGTAGAGTGAGAGCTGCAGTGTCTGGGTATGTCCAGCTCTCCGGCTAGTCTGTGGCCTCCTGTCTCCAGTGCAGGGCCTAGCCCTAAGCAGCAGTTCTGTCCCTGGGAATGGATGAAGAAGACTGAGTGAGGGGGCAATCAGGCTTCCTGTGGGCAAAGAGGGGCTGCCCAGGAAGAAGGGGGTGTTCCAAGCTGGAGGAATAGGGTGAAGGAAAGAGCAGGTGGGATGTCAGCCATGAGTCTGAGCACAGAGGGTGTGCTTCAATATGGTTAGCTTTGACTAGAGGACATGCTGTATGCTAACATCCCTAAATCCTCAGTTAGTCAGACAGGGTACTGGTATTGTTGTTAAGTGCTACTGAGTCAGTTCCAACTCATAGCAACCCTGTATAGGGTTTCCAAGGAGCAGCTGGTGGTTTTGAACAGCAGACCTTGTGGTTCACACAGCAGACCTTGTGGTTCACAGTCCAGTAACAGCTTGGAAATGGAGATGAGCTTGGGAAATGGAGATGAAGAAACGGAGGCTTGGGAAGTTAGGGAGCTAACCCACAGCCTCTCAGGGAGCCAAGATTCTGAGTCCTACATCTGTGCTCTGTCCTCACATCATGTTGCTTATAGGAGCACTTCAGAAGGAAATGAAATGTGAGCCACCATTTAAATGGAAATTTACATTTTCTACTGTTGATGTGTGCTGTCAAGTCTGTCCTGACTCAGCAACTTTGTATAAAGTTTCTGAGGCTGTAAATCTTTATGGGAGCAAAAGCCTCTCTCCTGCAGAGTGGATATTGGATTCAAACTGCTGACCTTACAGTTATCAGCCCAATGCATAACCCACTAGCTACCAGGGGCTCCTTAAATATTTTTACTTGTTGTTGTTGTAGTTAAGTGTTGTCAAATCAGTTCCAATTCATAGCGATCCTATATAGAGTTTCCAAGGAGCAGCTGGTGGGTTTGAACCACTGACCTTGCGGTTAGCAGTCCAGTGCTTATCCTATAGTGCCATACCAGGACTCCAACTTTTCTACTAGCCACATTTAAAAAGTAAAAAGAAACAGGTACATTAATTTTTGTGTTATATTTTATTTAACCCAATGTACCCAAAAGACTATCATTCCAACATGAAATCAAAATAGAATTATGAAGGAGATATTTTCCATTCCTTATTGTGTTAAGTTACAGCACATCTCAACTCAGATCAGCTACCAGTCCAAATGCTCCACAGTCATATGGGCTGGTGGCCGCCATATTGGATGGTACAGGTATAGGGGCTCAGATGCTGCATTCATTTAGCAATTGTTGACTAAAGAACCTACTATAATCTGGGCACGGTGTTAACAACTGCAGCCAGAAGAGGGCACACAGAGCCCTATACTCAAGTACTCATCATCTATGTCTGAGGGTCTCTACTATAGGTCAGTCTTGGGTTTGTGAGCTCTATGGGCTCTACATATATGGATGGGAAGGCTATATGCATCCACCCCATGGCACACACAAAATGCATTGCTCTAACATGGGCCATATCTCCCACTTGTTGACTTGGCAACTGCCTCTCATGAGAGTTTGCTGCGTGTCTCCAAGGAGTGCAGGAGAAACCAGTAGGAAAAAAACAGACTCAAATATTCTGATTTTCTGTCCTGTAATGGCGGGGGAGAGAAGGGAATACATGAAACAAGCAAGAAGGACTGAGATGTATGTAGGTGGCAAAGCACCTGGAGCTCATGGAGCTTGCTTGTATAAGATGTCATGAAACACCAACCTGTCCACCTTCAAATCACTACAGCTGCCATCTGGTGCCATCTTAGGTACCAATGCCCATTCAATTTTGGTTCAGATAAACAGCAGCAAATGCCAAAGCAATGAAAATATACAACAGGAAAACATGTTGTTAGTGCTATCAACTTGGCTCTCACTCTTAGCAACCCTATGCACAACAGAACAAATCACAGTGCTGAAAGACAGTGAAACATCATGGTGAAAAAGAACGACTTAGGTGAATGTCAAGTGAAGGAGATTTGATTCAGGCTTTCTCGATAATTATACAGGCTGAAGCTGCAGTCATATGCGCTGACCACAGCACCTGATCGCACCAGCACTGCCGTTAGGTAGAAGTAGCAGCTAACTTGCCTCTCCCTAGTCCCCCTGGGGCTCAAGGTGCTCTTTTGCCTTCCCTCCCATTTAACATTTAACCCCGCCCCCACCCCCACCCTCTGCACTGGTACAAATTACACCTGAAAACACTTTGGAAACTCTAAAATCAGTTGTCAGCCTCTAATTGTTGCTGTTAAGTACCATCGAGTAGGTTCTGACTCATGTTGTTGTTGTTGTCAGATGCCATCAAGTCGGAACTGACTCATAGCAACCCCATGCACAGCAGAACAAAACAATGTCTGATCCTGCGCCAACCCCACCACCGCTGCCACACTTGACGCCATCAATGATGCCATCTGGCTTATCTATCTTGTTGGGAGTCTTCCTCTTTTTCTCTGACCCTCCATCTTACCCAGCATGACATCCTTCTCCAGCGACTGTTCTCTCCTGACCATATGTCCAAAGTATGAGAGACTAAGTTTAGCCATCTTGCCTCCAAGGAGCACTCTGGCTGCACTTCTTCCAAAATAGATCTATTGGTTCTTTTGGCAGTCCATGGCACTTTCAGTATTCTCCTCCAACACCACAACTCAAAGGCATCAATTCTTCTACGGTCTTCCTTATTCACTGTCCAGCTTTCGCATCCATATGAGGTTATTGAAAGTACCGTGGCTTGGGTCAGGCGCACCTTAGTCCTCAAGCTGACATCTCTGCTCTTCAACACTTTAAAAAGTTCCTGTGCAGCAGATTTGCCCAATGCAATACGTCGTCTGATCTCTTGACTGCTACTTCCACAAGTGTTGATAGTTGATCCAAGAAGAATGAAGTCCTTGACAATTTCAATCTTTTCTCTGTTGATAAGAATGTTGTGTATTGGTCCAGTGGTGAGGATTTTTGTTTTTCTGACATTGAGATGCAACCCATACCGAAGGCTGTGTTCTTTGATCTTCATCAGTAAATGTTTCAAGTCCTCTTCACTTTCAGCAAGCAAGGTTGTATCATCTGCATATCACAGGTTGTTAATGAGTCTTCCTCCAATCCTGACGCTATGTTTTTCTTCATAGAACCCAGCTTCTCGTATTATTTGCTCAGCATACAGGTTGAATAAGTATGGTGAAAGAACACAATCTTGTCGCACACGTTTCCCAATTTTAAAACATTCAGTGTTCTCATGCTCTGTTCGAACAACTGCTTCTTGGTCCAGGTACAGATTCCTCAGAAGTACAATTAAGTGTTCTGGAATACTCATACTTCTCAGTGTTGTCCATAGCTTGTCATGATCCACACAATCGAAAGCCTGACTCATAATGACCCTTTATGTAGGGTTTCCAAGGAGCAGTTGATAAGTTTGAACCTCCAACCTTGTGGTTCAAACCAACCTTGCGGTCCAGTGCTTTATTTCACAGTGCCACACCGGTACTACCAGTCTCTAACTGTTGTTGTTGCTGTTAAGTGATGACTCATAGTGACCCTATTCAACGTTTCCAAGGAGCAGCTACTGAGCTTAAACTGCTGATTCTGCAGTTCAAATTGACATTGCAGTCCAGCGCATTAACATGTAGGCACCACACCAGACTCCAGTCTCTAACTTGTTGTTACATGTAGTTGAGTCGACTCAGATTCATAGGGACCCTGTATAGGGTTTCCCAGGAGCGGCTACTGAGCTTGAACTGCTGATTTTGCAGTTCAAACTGACCTTGCAGTCCAGCTCATTATCCTGCAGTTCCACACCAGGACTCCTGGTCTCTAACTTGTTGTTGTTATGTGCCGAGGCTGTAAATCTTTACGGGAGCAGAAAGCCCTATCTTTCTCCCGTGGAACAAGCTGGTAGTTTCGAACTGCTGACCTTGCGGCTCGCAGGCCGATTCGTAATCACTATGCTACCAGCTACCAGAGCTCCTTAGTCTCTAACTAGGGGGACCACTAATTGCTTGCATCCCTAGAGACACTGAAGCTACTGAGAGAAGACAAAGAAACAAAGAATTGCATTAGTTAGTTGTTGCTGTTAAGTGCAGTAGTAGAGTCGATTCCGACCCACAGCGACCCTGGACCCTGTATAGGGTTTCCGAGGAGCAGCTGGTGAGCTTGAACCGCCGACCTTGCAGTTCAAACGGTTTTGCAGTCTGGTGCGTTAACCTACAGCGCCACACTAGGACTAGTTGTTGTTGTTGTTAAGTGCCATCGAGTCGGTTCAGACTCATAGCGACCCTGAACAGGGGTTTCTGAGGGTGTAAATCTTTACGGGAGTAGAAAGCCTCATCTTTCTCCCGCGGAGCAGCTGGTAGTTTCGAACCGCTGACCTTAAGGTTCGCAGCCCGATTCGTAACCACTACGCTACCAGAGCTCCTAAGACTAGTTAGTAGAGAGGAAATTTTTGGTCTGGGTTTGGATTCTCACTATATCAATTTTGAACTTCACTGCCTTCTCGGCAGCTATCTCGTGTGTGTTTTGTGTTTCACTCACTGTTCAGATCCCCCTCCCCGTATACTGGCTCCGGAAGGGAAGAGAATGAGGCTTCGATGTGGGGGCCTAAGGTGAGGAAGCAAGGGGACAAGATTCAGGTACAACCGGAAGCGAGGGGAATGACGACAGAGGACAGGGACTTACCAATGGAAATGAGGGGTGGAGCTTAAACGAGGAGCCCGAGGTGGGAAGCCCAATGGGGTTTGAACGCGGGAGTCTGGCGAGAAAGGGGTGGGGCCTAGAAAAGGGAGACCCTGGGGAAACAGACCAGAGGAAATTAAGGGTCTGTGATTTGGAAGAGAGGCTGAAGGGAGTAAGAAGGGTTAGAGCAGTAGGAAGGTGGGGCTTGGAGGCGGCGGCCAGCGGGGCCTTGGGAAGCCGGGTCCGAAGGAACTGGGAACCGGCTTATGGAGTAAAGGAGGGGGCCCGATCCCGGGAGTGAGTGCTGAGGGCGATCGGCGGGGAGATGTAGGACATCTCACCTGTCTCCAGCTTCGCGGGCTCAGCCCCTGGATTTGGCCGGCTCATGGAATTGGCCCCGCGGAGCCTGCCGCTCCCAGGATCCCCAGCAACCCTACGCTGGGCTACGGAACCGTTGCCATGGCAACGGCGTCGTGAGCTACCTGTCCCGCAGGGGAGTGAAGGGAAGCTACGCCCAGCAGAGGGGCGGCCCCGGAAGTGCGTAATCCTCGTTCTCTTCCCCTTCCCCCCCCAGCGGACTCGTTCGGCCGTCGCTGCCGCCATTTTGTGAGCTGTTCGTACCGCCAGTGCGGAAAGCTGTCTTGACGCAGTACTGCTCATCGACAACGAGGCGGACTGGCAGCCCTGAGTGTCGCAGTCATGCCGGCCGGACCCGTGCAGGCGGTGCCTCCGCCGCCGCCTGTGGCCACGGACCCCAAACAGGTACCTCGACCGGTAGCCCGAGCCTAGGCCTGGGCTCATCCCTGGCGTGGTGGTCTCCGTTGTTCGCCTCCGCTTTGGAGGCCTTGGAGGAACTGCAAGTCCCAGGAGGCAGCGGGCTGCCTGCGCCGCGCTGCTTTCTGGTAACGAAGAGAGCAGGGGTTGTTAAAGTGTGGTCCCCGGACCAGGGTAACTTGTTAGTTAGAATTGCTACTCTCCTGAATAGGAACCAACGGTTTAACATGCACCCAAGGTGATTCACACGCACATTAAAGTTTGAGAAACACTGACCCAGCCTTCCCACATACAGTCCTCTGGCAGTTGGAGCCATTACCTCTCCTTGCAGTCTTAGCTTCCAAGCCAATGACCATCGTGTTGATTTCAACTCATAGCGGCCCTGGAGGACAGAGTACTGTTTCCACAGGGTTTCCAAGCCTGTAAATTTTTACAGAATCATGGTCACATATTTCTCCCTTGGAGCATCTGGTGGGTTCAGACTGCCAGCTTTGGGATTCGCAGCTGAGAGTTTAACCACTTGCACCTCTTTTCAGCCTTTGCCTGGTAATCAATCCCTGATTTTCCAGGCTAGAGTATATCTTTGGATATTAATTCAGCAGCAATAAGAGTATGCACGACTCTGAAAGTTCCTGCGTGGAATGAGGCTCAGTTACTGCCTGAGGGAGTTCACAGACTGAATTGTTGCTGCTAAGTGGAGTTGGTTCTGGCTCAGCGAACCTGAATAGGGTTTCCGAGGCTGTAAGTCTTTGCTGGAGCCGAAAGCCTCATTTTACTACCGCAGCGTTCCTACTAGAATCCAACTCCTGACCTTGGCCATTGTCAGTCCACCTTGTAACCCTCTTCACTACCAGGGCTCCTTGATAAGGTGAATACACAATAAATACTTATTGTTCTTGTCACCATGAGTGATGGCAGTTCCAGCCACCCCTCAAAAACTTTCAGTCAGTTGTATGGGGCACTCTGCCCTACAGTAGAAATACCCATATGTAACAGGGACAAAATAAACTAACCCAATATTGCTTTGATGGAGTGTGATGGGGTGACGGTGAAGTGCTGTCCAGTTGGCTCCAACTCATAATGACCCTGTATAGGGCTTTTTGAGGAGCAGTCAGTGGATTTGAACCACCATCCTTCCAGTTAGCAAGTCCATTGTTTATCCTACAGTACAAGGGAGGTTAAGGTAGGTGAAGCCACACCCAGGGGTGAGAGATACTTTGCTTTTAGAAGGATAAATAGGCGTTGACCAAGTGTGTGATTGGAGACAGGAAATAGTATCCTTCATTCTGCATTTCTTGAGCACATATTATATACTGTCCATTGTTTTGTGTTCAGGCTATTGCAGGGAGAATAATGAATATTTCACATGTCCCTAACATTTTCCCAGCACTGGCAGAAAAACAAACAAAATTACACAGATAAAATAATGATAATTATTTTAATAATTATTTATTAGTAATTGTCAATTTAATAGTAAATGTCAATCAATAGACAGTTAATGTTGTTGTTAGGTACCATCGCGTCGGTACCAACTCAGAGTGACCCTGCGCACAACAGAATGAAACACTGTCCTGTCTTGGACCAACCTCACAATTGTTTCCATGCTTGAGCCCATTGATGCTGCCACTTTGCCAGTCCATCTCGTTGGGGTCTTCCTGTTTTTCCTCTGACTCCACTTTACCAACATGATATCTTTCTCCAGCGACTGGTCTCTCCTTACAATATGTCTGAAGTATGAGATGAAGTCTGGCCATCCTGGCCTCCATGGAGCACTCTGGCAACACAGATCTGTTGGTTCTTTTGGCAGCCCATGGCACTTTCAGTATTCTCCTCCAACACCATAACTCAAAAGCATCAATTCTTCTACAGTCTTCCTTATTCACTCTCCAGCTTTCGCATGCATATGAAGTTATTGACAATACCATGGCTTGCTTGGGTCAGGCGCACCTTAGGCCTAAAACTGACATCTTTGCCCTTCAACACTTTAAAAAGGTCTCGTGCAGCAGATTTGCCTAATGCAGTACGTCAGTTTGATTTCTTGAGTGCTGCTACCATGAGTGTCTATGGTTGATGGAATAGATGATGAAAACAGCAAATAAGAGTATAGGAGTAGTTGTAAATTCAATGGTGTGGTCTTCTGGTGTCTGTTTCAGCATGTAAAGAGCCTGGGAGTCGTCAGTCCCTTATGGGACCTTGGTTCAGAGCATATGCTGAAGTGTTGGCTCAAAAACCCACAGATTGGTGGTATTTGAGAAATTCAGGTAGACAGGCAGTGATGTGGAAATTGGAGGAGGATCATAGACCAGTCACTTCACTCAGCATGCTGAGGATCTGGTGGGGGTTGGGAAAGAGGGATGACCAAACTTTTGTCACAAAGTGAATGATGGTGCAGCCAAAGGACTGTTGGAATCCTGGCTCTGCCATTTGGCCCAATTAAGCTAGCCATGCATCGGAGTAATAAAAGTCTTGATGTCTTGTATAGGATAAGCACTGGACTGCTAACCAAAATCTCTGTGGTTCAAACTCAACAACCACTCCTCAGAAATCCTGTGAGTTGGAACTGACTTGACAGGCACTTCACAACAAAAACAAAAATGAAAGAGTACAAACAGTATAGGACTCTTAACACAGGTGGTGTTTGTTAGCTGCAACATTTAATGTAGTGCTTAGAAAAGTATCTGGGACCTAGTTTATATGCTTGATGCATGCAGAAACTTTAAGAAGTTCCTTTTTAATTTAATTTTTCCATGAATTTCTTGAGCCTTGGTTGTATGCTGGCCAGTATGATCATTAGTAAATGACTGGATGTAGAGGCTGAGGAAGAGAGAGGAGACCCAAGGTTCTGGCCTGGTTAACCAGCTACATGGTTGGCTTTTCATAAGGAAAGAGGTTGGCATCCATGAGTCAGCTGGATCTGAGGCTTTGTGGCACTTGAAGGATCTAGGCTAGGATACCAAATTGGGGTGGGGAGAGTGGAGGATGTGGTTACAAGTGTCAGACTAAACCCACTGCCACTGAGGGCATTCCAGCTTATACTCACCGTATAGGACAGAGTAGAACCACTGCTTTATAGGGTTTCTGAGGCTGGGAATCTTAACTGAATTAGACTGCCTCATTTTTGTCCCATGGAGTGGGTGGTGGGTTCAAACTGCCAAACTTGTGGTAAGCAGCCCAATGCTTAACCCACTGTGCTGCTAAGGCTTCTTGCCCAACTAAAGACAACATGAATTTTGTGAAGAGAACTAACAATAGAATTTTGAGTTTCCAATGTTTAAAGGGCAGGAATGAAATGGACCAGGAACCTTGGATAGAATGATCAAAGAGCAAGAAGAGAGCTGGAGAGGAGGCCTGAGAGTTGAGGAAGGGGTACTTTTGTGGAGTGGCTAACAGTAGCTGGATAACTCTGTAGCTGGAACTTGGACCTTGCTGAAAATGAAGATTCCTGGTCCCACTGAAACAATCTAGCTGGAGTAGAGCTGGGAAGCCGCTTCTCTCTCATTCCTCAGGAGAGTCCCATGCCAGCCCAGTGCAGTTCCCTAGAACAGCCTGACCTGAGGGAGGTTTGTGGCATTGTTCTGAGAAGAAAGCCTGCTGTCTACACAGTATCCTAGTAGTGGTTAACAGTGGGGGTCCAACCCTAAACCACAAACATTAAGACCTTATTTCCTTTTCCTCTTTTTACAGCCTACAGAAGAAGAAGCATCCTCAAAGGAAGATTCTGCCCCTTCCAGGCCAGTGGTGGGGATTATTTACCCTCCTCCAGAGGTCCGGAACATTGTTGACAAGACTGCCTGCTTTGTGGCCAGGTAATACAGCTACTTCAGGGCCAGAGAGTCAGGAGTGGGCTTTAGCACCAACAGCTCCTGAGTCAGCACAAGGGGAATGCCTGGATTTTTAGAGAGGAAATGTTGGCTTCGGTCTACTGTGGTGGTGGTATGCTGTGAAGTGGGTTCTGACTCATAGTGACCCTGTATAGGGTTTCCGAGGCTGTAAATCTTTACTGGAGCAAAAAGCCTTCTCTTTCTCCCACGGAACAGTTGACAATTTCGAACTGCTGACCTTGAGGTTAGCAGCCCGACTCGTAACTACTATGGTACCAGAGCTCCTTGTTACTGTTGTTGTTATGTGCTGTGGAGTCGGTTCCGACTCATAGTGACCCTGTACAGAGTTTCCAAGGCTGTAAATCTTTACAGGAGCAGAAAGCCTCATCTTTCTCCTGCGGAACAGCTGGTAGTTTCAAACTGCTGACCTTGCAGTTCCCAGCCCGATTCGTAACCAGTACGCTACCAGAGCTGCTTAGTTCATTTTAATGAGGTAGGCAAGTTGACCATTCTTGTTGTGCAAGGAATGTATTCTTCAGTTCTAAAGGGTCTGTAAATGGAATAAACTGCAACCTCGGGTTGAGGCAGTTCAGTTACTTCATACTGTTGTTGTCGTTGTCATCGTTAAATGCCATCATTTCAATTCCAACTCATAGTGACCCTGCTTTGGGTTCCCAAGAAGCAGCTAGTGGGTTTGAACTGTTGACCTTGTGGTTTGCAGTCTAGTGCTGATTCACCATACCAGAGTCTTACTCATGGAAAAATTCCATCATCTTTTTTGTTGTTGTTGAAGTTTTATTTTGTATTTTCTTTTAAAAAATTATAACCCAGGCTAATATAAAGAAATTAATAAAAACATCTTTATAATATGAGGGGGTTTCAAAAATTGTGTGGAATAATTTGATTATCACTCAATTCCATTTCTCCACAAATTTTGGAAGTCTCCTCATACAGGTGTTAGCTGCTGCTGTCTTCTCAGGGGGGATGGGATTCAGTTCCTATTCTTCCCCATCATTCCTATATTGTTATTGTCGTTAAGTACCTTCGAGTTGGTTCTGACTTATAGCGACCCTGTATAGGGTTTCTCAAGAGTGGCTGGTGAACTTGAACTGCTGGCCTTGCAGTTCAAACCGACTTTGCAGTCTAGTGCATTAACCTACACCCACAAAAAAAGCTAAACCCACTGTAGGGTAAGCACTGGATTGCAAACCACAAGATTGTTGGTTCAAACATACCAACTCCTCCTCAGAAACCCTATACAGGATCACTATGGGTTAGAACCAATTGGATGGCACCTAACTAACAGCAACAAATCTTTGAAGGAGCAGAAAGTCTTGTCTTTCTCCCTCAGAGCAACTGGTAGGTTTGAACTGCAAACCTTCTTCTGCTTAGCAGTCCAGTGCTTATCCTATAGCTCCATTGTTGTTAAGTGCCGTCAAGTCGGTTCTTACTCATAGCCACCCTGTATATGGTTTCCAATAAGCGCTGATAAGTTTGAACCACTGACCTTGAGGTCCAGTGCTTACCCTGCAGCACCAAGAGTCTTTAGCACCACTCTCTTAAGTGCCTTCCAGTTATTTTATATACATGCTGTATGCCATCAAGTCGGCTCCAACTCATAGTGGCCCCGAATAGGGTTTCCAAAGCTGTAAATCTTTGTGGGAGCAGAAAGCCTCATCTTTCTCCTCTGGAGCAGCTGATGGGGTCAAACTACTGACCTTACAGTGGGCAGCCCAATGTATGCTACCAGGGCATATTCATCCTCATGTGAAAAAAATTTTTTTTTTCTTTTTTTCATTTTGAAGAAGATATATTCAAATTATAAATACAATAATGTTTCAGTCCATTATTTTTCCCCAAATTAAAAAACAGTGGAGGTTTTCAAACCAGTGTTGTGTGCAGTCACTTCTCATAAAGTCTTTTGAACTTCAATGTGCAGTCACTTCTTATAACAAAGTCTTCATTCAGTGTGAGGATGTTTTATTTCTTCCCTTTGTTTCACAGAATAATTTAGGTTCCCATCCTGGGCATGATTTACCAATAGAGTAAGACCACAGATAAAAGTGAAAGAAACCCAGGCAATGAGGTAAACTTCTAAAAACAAATATCCTTGAGTATCCAGTATTAACACCAGCATTAATGGAAACAATTGTGAACCCTGAATTGTGAGATGAACTGCATGCACCATCATTGACCTCAATGTACAGGCAAACAATGAATAGGAGACTGCCAGAAGACAAGAATTAATGAAGTGCCTGTTAAATGCACTTACTGCCTGGGACAAACTTTCCCAAGTTCAAAACAAGGGAACACTGCCACATAGCAGCAGACACAGATGATAAATGGAAGCCACAAGGGTAAGCAGTCCTTCACACCAGGTCATTTAATAACTTCACCTGTTTTTCCTTGTTCTTTATGAATGATTCTTTCTGCTCCCTGATCCAAATAAGCAAGGGCCAATGCACAGATAAGTGAAAGACTATCTCCTATCATAAGTGTGACTCCAGGGATCATGGGACCAGCAGAACCCAGTGATGCTTCCCTCTTATAAGACAGCCGTTCCACAAGGCTCATGTTGATAGTACTTTCAGTTAGGTACTCTGGGAAACTGCTAAGGACTCCCACCAGTTCCAACTGTAAACCTTCCAAATTTCACTAGCCAAAAAGCATTAAATATTCCACTCAGAGCAAATACAGCCTGTCCAGTGCAAGCAAAGCAAAACTCAGTTAGTTGCCAGTATTTAAAAATCAGAAATTTTCACATGAAAATGTGCTAAATGTTAGCCTTAGGCTAGTGCTAAGCTGAACTGCTGCCCTCAATCAGGACAAAGGGGTTACACCTTGAAAGTCACTCCCCCAAGGGTACAGCCCCCTCACAGTACTCCAGTGAATAACAGGTCCCTTCCCAACTGCCTAATACAGTTGAATACAGAAAGTTGTTCTTCTGGTTGATGCCTTTTGCTGTATTATGTTCCCTCCAGGCTCATCTTATCTCATTCTAAGGATTATAATTAACCTGATTAATTTGTTGAAAGTTGATCTGTGAATGGTTAAACATTGGGCCACATCTGATTAGGCAAGCCTGCTTTGTGATTTAGATGAATTTTTAATGCCTCATGCCAACTCTCAGGCTTCCTCTTTTTTTGTGATATTTTAAAAACAATAAATTAGAAAAGGATGTTGGGTAAAAATTAGCCATAATCTCACTAGCGCAGCACAATAGTTCAGCTGTTTGGTTTTCACTTTTTTCCTGTTTCCTTTTGGCTCGTGTCATCTTTTTTTCTTTTTTAAGACTGTGGTAGTAGTAGCAGAGATACTTTCATATCCTGCTTTTCACTCTGTGTTGGTCTTTGGTCTTTTGTATTGCTCTGTGGTCTTCCTGATGCTGTGTTCTCTGCTGAGAGGACGTACCTCGTTGCTTGGTTTGACCTTCTTCCATTAGTTTCTGTTGAGGTTGTTTCCCAGCATTTCAGTTCAGCAAACAAGACTGAGGCTGAATTCTCTGAGCATATTCTTTCCATTTTAGATCATTTCCGTAGCAGACAATTCTGGGCAGCACATTCTTGACTCAAAGCATTTTTTTGAATGTTTCTAAAACATTATGCCAAGTAACTTTCCAATCGTTTTGTGCCTGTCTCTGCTGCCACAGAAACAAGAATTTCTCTACTCATATTTCCTTACAAGTAAATAAATAGAAGGGGGCTTCAAAATGTTTGTGCAACAATTCCACTATTATTTAATTCCATTTTTCTACCTACTTTTTGATCCCCCTTTGTACATACCCCACAGATAAATCTGTAGCTATAATTTTTGTTTATATCACTTTTGTAGGCATTTCTGCAGTCTGCCAACTTTTTAAGTAGGTTGCAATGAAAAAATAGACTATTTCATTACTCTGGGGTAAAGCAAGCATGCAAGGACCCTTAGCCTCACTTCTCCCGGTTTCTTACACATGGATGAGGGCACACAGTAGAAATCACCAACAACCAAGGTAGTTTTATGAAAGGTTACTTTTTCCCCCCTCTCTTTCTAGATTAGGTCTTTCCTTCCCCATACATTCCTATCAATCTGAAGTGGAAATTACGCTTTAAAAAGTCCCACCAACTGGGTGAAGTCAGAATTTCAGCTTTTTCTGCTGAAATCTACTCATGCTAGATTGTATAGTTCTGAAATTGATATTAACAACTTTAACAAAAGTGATTGGAATGAAATGCCTGCCTCTTCATTGTTTTAGCCTTCAGACTGTTGCCTTAGTGCTCAGGCTGTGACCTTGGAGACCACCAGAGCTTTGCCTAGTTGCCTTCTGCCTGGTCTGGGAGGTTCCTGGGTTTAGTGGCCCAACTGAGTAGTGTTTAACTGTGCTCCTTCTATGTGGCTTGCACTATTTAAGCCAGGGGATGAGCACTTTTTCCCAAAGTCTGAGGTTCCAGTGAGACTGCTACACTGTCCAACTGAGACCTCGTGCTCTGACCACAGAATGAGATCAGAACCTGCTGAGGAACCAGACGAGGTGTTGACCATCCGAGGGGCACAGATTGCTCTGGTGGCTAATGTGAACACAGCATTTTCTGCCCCCCCTTGACTACCAGGGTTGGGGAGTAAAATCCCAGAAAAGGTGGGGCAGCATGGTTGGCTGAAACCCTGGGGCTGTACAGTTGTGTGTTTGAGGCAAGCTAGAGGAGTGATGAGAGCCCCTCAGACATCTTTTAGTATCTGAATCATCCCAAATGCTTCTGAACAGCATTGTCTGGCTTTTGCAGGCCGCTGTAGAATTCAGAGGAGCACTCAACTAACTGCTAACTGCAAGGTTGGCCGTTCAGACCCACCACCCACTCTGCAGGAGAAAGATATGGCAGCCTGCTTCCATAAAGATTACATCCTCGGATTCGACATTGTCCTACAGGACTTGACTTGATGGCAGTGGGTTTGGGTATACTTCAAAAGGGAGATTTTAGGCATCACCCTCACTAATTTGCTCTTAATGATACTTCAAGGTTGAGCAGGCAGGTGGTGCTAACCTAATTTTTACACATGGGGAAACAGATAAGGAGACGTTCAATAATTTGCCTTGAGTCACATGAGTCAGTAGAGAACCTGGCACTTGAGTGTGTTCATAGTATGTGTCTGTAAGACCAGTGCACTTTCTGACATAACGCCAGTGGGGCTCTTTAAAATTGGTGTTTCCATTGTGGCACTTTGGGTTAATTAATGTGTTAGACTGCAAAGTAGGTTTGAGCTGTTAAGGTCAGCAGTTCAAGCTCACCGGCTGCTCCTAAGAAACCCAATACAGGGTTGGGATGGGTCAGAACTGACTTGATGGCACTTAACAAAAATAACATATCCCATGCAAGGGGCATTTTTTTCCTTCTCCCAAGGCTCTGAAGGCATGTGTAACTGGGGTGGACCTCGAAGTGCACCTTGGACCTGTCCCGGTCATCTGAGTGTGCCTTCTCCGGTAGTCCTGGTGACAGCACAGGGCAAGGTTCTTGGAGAACGGTGTTTGCCGTGTGGGCTTCAGCATAGGAAATTAGATGATTTTAGACAGCAATTAGACAAAGCATTAAGTCAAAGAATCCAAATTTTCATGTCTTTTCCAGTATTTCCCCTTGCCCAAAGGTTAACATCTCTTTTGGTACTAATCCAAGGGGACTTCAAAAAGTCACAGAAATGGAACTTTAAAAAAAATCTTTTAACTTCCTTTTTTCTATGAAGTGTTTGAAGCCCCCTCATATGTCCTTAATACTTCTCCAGCACTTGTTAGTCCCCTTTTTTGAAAAGAAAACTGGCCTCGGTCTCAGCTGACTTCTAGCTGGAAGTTGTTGACATTTCATTATCATTGATTTTATGACTACCAGTGGTTAGTGGTGTGGCGCTGTGGGTTAATGCACCAGACTGCAAAGCTGTTGGAACTGCAAGGTCGGCGGTTCAAGCTCACCAGCTGCTCCTCGGAAATCCTATACACAGTCACTATGGGTCAGAATCGACGCACGGCGCTTAACAACAACAGTGGTTTGTGAAATGAAAGTGATTTTTATTTGAATGTGTTTAATATACTTTCTTGTTGTTGTTGTTATGTGCCATCGAGTCGGTTCCGACCCATAGCGACCCTGTATAGGGTTTCCGAGGGTGTAAATCTTTACGGGAGTAGAAAGCCTCATCTTTCTCCCGCGGAGCACCTGGTAGTTTCGAACCGCTGATCTTAAGGTTCACAGCCCGATTCGTAACCACTACGCTACCAGATGTATAGCACAGTAGTTGCCGGTGCAGTTAAAGAAATTATTAGAGAAAAATCTATTGTCCAGGTGATTTTGGTAGCAGCAAAACTATAGAGGAGGAGCTCTCGGAAGGACTGAGGTCTAGGGGACCCTGTGGTCAAGAAGCCATCATCCAGGCTAGATGAGGTGGATGGCATTGGCCACTGGTGCCAGGAGGCTAGAAGAGGCCCTCTGCTATGTGGAGGGGCAGTCTCGTGTGAGCACTGGATAGGACCAAGAAGTCTGGAAGGAACTGGATTGTTCAGGGTCTAAGTAGTCTCAAGGTGGTAGTGTCATTCTTTCTTCCTTCTTCCAGAAATGGCCCTGAATTTGAAGCCAGGATACGACAGAATGAGATCAACAACCCCAAGTTCAACTTTCTGAACCCCAATGACCCTTATCATGCATACTACCGCCACAAGGTCAGCGAGTTCAAGGAGGGGAAGGCTCAGGAGCCCTCGGCTGCCATCCCCAAGGTCATGCAGCAGCAGCAGCAAGCCACCCAGCAGCAACTGCCCCAGAAGGTTCGGAACCTAGCAGTTTCCCTCACAGGGCCCAGGGGAGGGCGAGGACAGGGAATGGAGGTTCTGGTAACTCTGCTGTAACACATCACAACCACCCTGGGGAGAAGGAAGCTGGTAACCCATCTTACTGAGGCAGTGACTGAGGCTCTGAGAGCTAGGTACTGATGCTAGTTGACATCTACTGAGCTTATCAGGCCCTGAACTCGGGTCTCAAGGAGTTTGTCTCATTGACTCCTCAGAATGTCTAAAGAGGAGACAGGCAGAGTGACTGTTTTGCACATGAGGAATCTGAGGATTGGGGCAAGTGGGGTTTCCCCAAGTCTATAGAGCTAGCACCCCAGAGTCCTTGCTCTTAACCCTGCTTTCTATATGAGGCCAGTGTTGTGATATGTGAAGGACCTGCCTGCCTGTGCTGAAGGGTGCAGTGTGGACTGTGGGCCTGTTTGGACACAGACTCTTCCTTCTATTTCCCCCTTCCAGGCCCCCTCCATCCCATTCACCCTGAGCACTAGGGACTGTTAGGATTGATGGAAGGACGGGAAGGGCCAGCAGGATGTGCTGAACTAGACTGTGCTCTCCACTTGGCGCCACTTCTGAATTGGTGGAAAAGGAGAGAGTACCTTGTTTTGCAGTGAGAAGGAAGGTGGGAGGTTGAAGTCAGGTTGAGACCTTGCATTGCTATTTATTGCTGCTAGGGCCTCTTTGAACTACCTCAGTTTCCTCAGCTCTTAAAAAGGATTCCCAGTAACTATTCAGTCTGCCTCGTGTGGTTCATGTGAAGGTCTGATGAATGTGAAAGTCCTTTGTACAGTGGGGTCTTCGCACACACAAAAGGGCTTACAACATCCTTGATAAACCATATTACTGTCGATTCTTTTACTGCCTGATTTTGCCCTCAATTTTAGGACAGGAGCAGATAACGAGGGGCACGGGTCTCACTGAAGGCCATTCAGGCATCTTAGACCACAGGTGGTCGAGAAATCATCACTCTTGTGAGTTGAAATTTTCTCACACCACGTGACAGCAGTGTGGATGTAATCAGTGGCAACATAGAGGCTAGCACCAGCCTGTTAGACGGGACTGCTTTTCTGGAGCCAGCCAACGCCTCTGCCTCTTCCCTCTGCATCTTTCCTCAACCTTTCTCTGCTTTTTCAGGTGCAAGCCCAGGTGATCCAAGAGACTATTGTGCCCAAAGAGCCCCCACCTGAGTTTGAATTCATCGCGGATCCCCCCTCCATCTCAGCCTTTGACCTAGATGTGGTGAAGCTGACAGCTCAGTTTGTGGCCCGGAATGGGCGCCAGTTTCTGACGCAGTTGATGCAGAAAGAACAGCGCAACTACCAGTTTGACTTTCTTCGCCCACAGCACAGCCTGTTCAACTACTTTACGAAGTTGGTGGAGCAGTACACCAAGGTGCCTAGGCAGGTTGGGCAAGGGGGGCGAGGCTCCGGGGAGAAGGCTTCTGACTGTAATTGCTCTGTCTACTCATTGTTGAGAGCCTGACTGCTCTCTCTTCAGTGCCTCTAGGCAGATGTTAGAAATTCCAGTTTAATGTAATTCTTGATTTCTATTCAGTTGCCCTTTTTAAAAAAAAGCAATGAAGACTACTTGTAACTAAAGAGAAATGAGGTTTTTTATTAACTGCCATTTGATGAGTGCCTGCTATGTGACAGGACCAAGTGATGCTAAGTGCTTGGAAGTACACTGAAATTTTCAGGTGCTCAGCATGGAGCTCGAGAAGAAGCAAGCGCTTAACAATCCTCACAAGAACCTGTGAGAGTTTTTCCCCCACTCCCCATATTCAGAAGAAGGAACAGACTCAGATAAAGTCACTTAAGAAAGGAGCTACAGAGATTTAAACCCACATTTGACTCTAAAACCTTTGTTGTTCCCAACTGATAGAAAGTACTAGTAAGTCACAAGTATCACTTAAATTAAGTGTTGGAAAACATTTTAATGTAATAGAGGTAAATATGTTGTTATTGTTTGGTGCCATCAAGTTGGCTCTAACCCACAGCAACCCTATCTGCACAACAGAACTAAACACTGCCCAGTCCTGCATCATGCTCATAATTGTGTTTGAACTCATTGTTGCAACCATGGTGTCAGCCCATCTCGTCAGGGGTCTTCCTCTTTTTTGCTGACCTCCTACAATACCAAGCATGATGTCCTTCACCAAGGACTGCTCTCCTGAAAACATTTCCTAAGTACAAGAGATAAAGTTTCACCATCATCACTTTTAAGGAGCATCTAGCAGTACTTCTTCCAAGATAGATTTGTTCATTTTTCTGAAGGAAGTCTTCAATAGTCTTTGCCAACACCATATTTCAATTGCATCGATTCTTCTCCTGTCTTCCTTTTTTTGACCTGCATGAGGTGATTGAAAATACCATGGCTTGGGTCAAGCACGCCTTAATCCTCAAAGCGACATCTTTGCTCTTGAACACTTTAAGAGATCTTTTGCTTCAGATTTGGCCAATCCCGTACATAATTTGATTTTTTGACTGCCTCCATGAGCAATGATTGTGAAGCCAATAAAATGAAATGGTTTTTTTAAATGAAATTTTTCAAAGCTTCAATCTTTTCTCCATTTATCATGATGTTTATTGGCCTAATTGTTGTTAAGTGCTGTCGAGTCGTTTCCGACCCATAGCAACCCGGTATGGGGTTTCTGAGGCTGTAAATCTTTATGGGAGCAGAAAGCTTCGTCTTTCTCACATGGAACAGCTGGTAGTTTTGAACTCTTGACTTAAAGGTTTTCTCCATTTATTTATCATGATGTTTATTGACCTAGTAGTGAGGGGGTTTTTTGTGTTTTTTTTTTTTTTTTCTTTGAATTGTAGTTCATACTGAAAACTGACTGTAGTCTTTGATTGTAATCAGCAAGTACCTCAAGTCCTCTTTTCAGCAAGCAAGGTTGTGTCATCTGCCTAACGCAGGTTAAAGAGCCTGCCTTCAATCTTTTTTTTTTTAATGTTTTATTGTGAATTATGTGATAGTTTACATGGGAGAACATTAGCTTTACATTCATCTTATTGTATATCATTTCATTGCCTTGCTTACAGTCCTCTCCGTCATCATCAGCCGGCCAAAGGGTGTACCCTGCAAGCCTGTCCCCTGGTTGTCAGCACACAGCCCCTTTCCCTCTCTGGGTCTAAAGTCTCCAGCCACTCCCCTCTCTCCACGTCATTGTCTCTACCTCCATCTCTGGTGTCACTGCTTCTCCGCACTTCTCCCTTGATGGTCCCAGGGACCTCCGCTCCTAGACTGCAAAGTCAATCACCCCCCTCCTTTTGCTACAAAATGTCTACTTTTACATTTCCAGTCCTCACAGTCAGTCCTGATAACAATTCACTATTGTACCACAAGAGAACTGTCCCCATCTCCTTTCATCAGCCCTGCCCAGACAGATTGGATACTATTACGTGGCGATATCTACCTTCCTCTATGCCTTCTGGATCTAGGCTCCCTCTTGAAAGCCCTTAAGCCAGTCACTTCTTGCCTTTGTAACCCCTCCCCCATTTTGGGTAGCCAATGTCCAAGTTTCCCATCCCTGTCTACTCTGTGTGTGGAGGAGGTGGGAATGGTCCTCGCTGTAAAGATTTGTTCACTCTTTTGAGCTACTGCATCCGTAGTTGTGGGTCAAGTTCATCAAATTGTATCAGATTACTCTTTTTTTCCCTCTACTTTCTTCTTCTAGTTGAGCTCTGATCATCCAGTCATTGAAGCCTGGTCAAGTGGGTATTACCTGCAAGTGTGGGTGTTCTTACGCATATGCCCTCTCTTCTTATCAGCTGGGTGCTTTACTCTCCATTCTAGTCCTCTGGCTATGCCACTGACTCTGGGCCCAAGAATCCCCAGGTCTTGACACACTGCTGATCAATCCTTCCTTCAATCTTGATGCAGTATTCTTACAGTCCAACTTCTTAGACTATTTTCTCAGTGTTCAGATTAAGTAAGTATGCCGAAAGGATACAACCCTTACACACACCTTTTCTGATTTTAAACCATTCAGTATCCCCTTGTTCTGTTTGAATGACCGCATCTTGGTCTATATACAAGTTCCTCATGAACACAGTTAAATGTTCTGGAATTCCATTCTTTGTAGTGTTATTCATAGTTTGTTACCCACATAGCCAAATGCTTTTGTATCAGGAATAAAAGCACAGGTAAACATCTTTCTGATATTCTCTGCTTTCAGTCAGGATCCATCTGAAGTCAACAATATCCCTCTTTCCACACCAGCTTGAATTTCTGGTAGTTCCCTTTCAATGTACTGCTGCAATTATGTTCAACAAAATTTTACTTGCATGTGATATTGTTAGATAATTCCCATGATTTGTTGACTCTCCTGTTTTTGGAATAGGCACAAATGCAGATCTCTTCCAGCCAGCTGTCTTCCAAATTTCTTGGCATAGTCTAGTGAGTGCTTCCAGCACTGCATCAGTTCATTGAAACAATTCAGTTAGTATTTCATCAATTCCTGGAGCTTTTCACTTAGGCTTTCAGTTTAGCTTGGGTGTCTTCCTTCAAGACCATCAGTTCTTGATCATCTGGTACCTCCTGAAATGATTGTACGTTGACCAGTTCTTTTTGGTAGAGTGACTGTGTTTATTTTTTCCATCTTCTTTTGATGCTTCCAGCATCATTTAATATTTTGTCCATAGATTTCTTCAATATTGCAAGTTGAGGCTTTAATTTTTTCTTTGGTTCTTTTAGCTTGAGAAATGCTGAATGTGATCTTCTTAAAGGGAAATATAGCAAGCCTTTACTGAGTACTTCCCATGCAACATCTTCTCATTCCTATGATACCTATCATGCTCATGACAGAAGAGGAAACTGAATCATCCCAGTCCCTGTTGCCCTCAAGTTGATTCTGATTTGGTCAGGATCACTCAGCTAGGAAGTTTCAGAGCTAGGATTCATGCCCTGGTATTTTAACTACAGATCCTAAGAGCTTCATGATCATGCTGTCTATGAATAAGTCAGTCTGGTACTTAAAATGCCAAATTTCTCAGATGATCTCAGCATTGTGCTGTTGCTTTCCCTTCTGTAGGTGTGCTACCGAGTAGAGTGGACCAGTTTGCCATTGGCAGGTTTTCTGGTGACACATTAGTGGAGGTCGTTTTCATTCCCTTTTCAGTGTGATGTTCTACACATTTGTTTTTGATACCTGGAAACACTTAAAGATCTGCTTGAAGGACTCCTATGGGCTTCCTTTGTCTTAACCCACCCTAAAGTATAAAGTTTTAGAAATGAGTGTCTTTAGAAAACAAGTAATCCCAGGTGCTAGTAGACTAACTGAAGCAAGTCTTTGAAGGACCAAGGGCAAAACAGAGAACTTTTAGCAAGTCCACAGCAGCAACTTTGTGTTTGCCCCCTGAGTTAATTTCTAGCAGTGGACTGCTTCCAAGATGACATGTCCCCAGTCCCTTTTTATTCCTTTCCTGTTTGTCCCTGAGAATTCAAGTGTTGACATTTACTCTAACTCGGGATGCTGCTGTCTGCCTCTTGCCAGGGAAACCTCTAGGAGCAGATACTCTTGAGGGTGGAGGTACAAGGAGGGGTGGAGATGGTAGAGGGGGTTGAGGCACTTCCACCCACCAATGGCAGTAGTTAGTATTGGGGCATTTTGTGTAGCTATCTGTTTAGAACAAAGTCAGTGGTCATTCTCTCAGTAAACATACACAGAGTTCCATTCCAGGTGGTGGAGATCTTACAAGTGAGCCGAAGACAGAAAAACCCATATCTTTGGAGATTCTAGTCAGGTTGGATAGAAGCAAACAAGGATTACATCAGTGTATATCAGATGGTGGTAAATGTTACAGAGAAAAAGGAAAACAGTGGACACCTAGGGAGCTGTAGTATTCAATTGGGGGTTTAGGGAGGTCTGAGTAGCATGTTAAAAAGGAGAGCATATCAGTCATTGTGAATGCAGCAATCACAGCCTGACTCTGTGCTGTTGGTTTCGCATCCTTTCTTGTTTCTCCCATTGCCTGTGTCTCACCACAGGCTCAGGAAGGCATGCTCTTTGCCCTTAGTCTCATATTGTATCAGGAGGTGATGCTAGACTGACAGTTGCTCTAACTGTTCTGTGTTTCAGATCTTGATTCCACCAAAGGGCTTACTTACAAAACTCAAGAAAGAAGCTGAAAATCCCCGAGAAGTCCTGGATCAGGTAAATGGACTAGGATTACTCACAGCCAATTACTGATGGTGAAAGCTCCACTATTTGGGTTCTGCTTGGGTTTTGGAAGCAGTCTCTGCAATAGCATTATGTTAGGTTCCAGGTCCAGCCAGGGTGGGAAGAGATGCCTTAGGTAAAGTAGACTTAACGCTGCTTTTGGCTTTGCTCTCAGCTGGAGAGCCAGTGCCTGAGCAGATTCTAGGGTGATAGATTGCTTTTGAAGCCCCCAGATTGTCAGAGAGAATGCAGATTGTTCATTAATAGTGCTTTTTGGTTGCTGTTGTCTACTTGAAGCCTTTTGTTTCTGAGACCCTCAGGCTGCTGTTTTTCTCGTGGGCACTTGGTTGTCACACAGACTGCCTGGACAGTTTTCCTCTTCTCTGAGCTCAGAGCCCCTTGCCTACTCAAGCAAAACATGTGATGAATGTAATTATGGCTGCCCTTAGGGCCCAGGCAGGGTGTCTGTAGCATTCCACATTTTCTTCCTGTCTACACTCTGGATATCTGGCCAAAGGCAGGTTCACATATTTTATTTTGCCTCAGAAAGTTCTCCTGTATGGGCTGAACAGAGCAGCCTCCTGTGCTGAGGGAGGTGCTGGCCTGGATGAAGGCTCTGGAGATGAGCTCAGCATTGTACTCTTGCTTTCCCTCCTGCAGGTGTGCTACCGAGTAGAGTGGGCCAAATTCCAGGAGCGGGAGAGGAAGAAGGAGGAAGAGGAGAAGGAGAAGGAGCGGGTGGCCTATGCTCAGATCGACTGGCATGATTTTGTGGTGGTGGAAACAGTGGACTTCCAGCCCAATGAGCAAGGTAGGTCTGAGGAGAAGGACTCCAGATGGGGAGCTGGTGTTCGGAGCCATCTTAGGAGTTCTCACACAGCTCGCTGTTCCCAGGGAGCAGCAGCATCTCTCAGCAGACTTTAGCCACATGTATCATTGGTACTTTCCAGAGACTCAGTTCTAACACTTCACCAAAAATCAAATCCGGTTCAACAAATCCTGTGCCAGGTCTCTGGGGATGTGGAGATAAATGAGACTATGCCAGCCCTCAGCTGGCAGTCAAGAGGGAAGTGAGGAACTTTTGGTCAGATGTGACTATGGAGGGATTCCTTTGACTCTGGTGTCCCCTCTGCCAGGGAACTTCCCTCCCCCCACTACCCCTGAGGAGTTGGGGGCCCGAATCCTCATCCAGGAGCGCTATGAGAAGTTTGGGGAGAGTGAGGAGGTCGAGATGGAAGTCGAGTCTGATGAGGAGGATGAGAAACAGGAGAAGACAGAGGAGCCTCCTTCCCAGCTTGACCAGGACACCCAAGTACAGGACATGGATGAGGTACCTGCTGGGGTGGGCCTGTGGGATAACCTTTTCCCCTGGGGCCTGAGGAGAGCTGAGTGTTGGCCACAGAGGTTGAATTCCAGCTCCCTTGAGCCTTGAAAGGAGACATGGCCCTGGACAGCGATGCACCGCCTGTGCACCCACCCAAGCCAAGATGGCACAGAGCCGCTCCATTTCAGGCCATAGAAAGCCATTAACAGGCAAGGGTCTGATGCTGTGCCAGCGCTGCTGTCTTGTGGCCTCCCTCTTAGCCCAGTGGTCTGGCCCCCTCTCCTGCCGCCGTCTCTATACCCACCTCAGTCAGGGCACCTTCTTTGCATCACCCTATGCTTTTGAGCACTTAGCTTAGGCACAGATGGTCCAACTGTTCCCAGAGCTTTTCTAAATGTAGCCTATGCTTCCTTTGGGCCACCCGCACCCTTCTAGCCAGGCCCTCCACGCAGGCCTTATTAGCACAGCCTCTCCAGGGCCAAGCTGCCCTCCTCCTCTTGGAAAGAATCTGTGCGCAGCCTGAGAAGAAAGGGTCCCTGTGTCTGTGGGAATTGACTTTTTCTCTCCCTCCCAGCACTGCTCTGTGTGAGTGGCTCCCATTGAACGCCTGCTCTCCCTTACACCCCTCCCAGCATGCTGAGTGCTCTTGGCCTCTTGGGACCGCCTGGTACCCGCTGCTGGAAATGCCTGGGAGGAGTGTTGGCACCATGGCCCCAGAGCTCCCATTCATGCTGTGAGGAAATAGCTTGGCCTGCTGCCGGCTGGCCTCGGCTTCTCCAGGCGGCACACAGACGCTTGCTGGTTGGGGCCAAGGCTTCTCACCATCCCAGAGCTGCCAGTGCTCAACTGCAGGGAGGTAGCTTTTTATCCCCATTCTGAGCCCTACCATCATTTTTTCCCCCAGGGTTCAGATGATGATGAAGAAGGGCAGAAAGTACCACCTCCTCCAGAGACACCTATGCCTCCGCCTCTGCCCCCCACACCAGACCAAGTTATTGTCCGAAAGGACTATGACCCCAAAGGTAGGACTCGTTTTCCAGCCTCTGTTCTGCCTGGCAAGTTCATCATGCCTCTGTTGCTCCTCAGACCTTCAGCTTTGGGAAAGGCTTGAGGCAGCTTGTTGGGAAAGGCTTGAGGCAGCTTGTTGGGAAAGCATAGATAACCTTTCTGTTAGGGGTTTCAAAGCAGGGAGCAGCTGGAGTTAGTCCTCTTGAGTGGGATGGAACGCCACCTTTCAACCCAGACTGTTGCCTAGTATTCTCTCAAATGTTTCTGTTTCCTTTTAGCTTCCAAGCCACTGCCTCCAGCCCCTGCTCCGGATGAGTATCTCGTGTCTCCCATCACCGGGGAGAAGATCCCTGCCAGCAAAATGCAGGAGCACATGCGCATTGGGCTGCTCGACCCCCGCTGGCTAGAGCAGCGTGATCGATCCATCAGAGAGAAGCAGAGCGATGATGAGGTGTATGCACCAGGTGAGGTGGGGCTTGGCTCCTGGGACTTCCCCATCCAGATCTGTACTCCTCTTCTGACTCAGCCGTGACTCACCCTGGCTCGTGGGAATCTCAAAACCACGGTCAACTTGCTTTAAACAAACATAGAAAGCACTAAGTGAGGTCAGCAGAAAATTGAGGGTAGGTTTGGCCTTAGGTGTTACAAAGGAGCCCTCTCCATAGGAGTCCTCCAGAGGCTGGTTCTTGATACCGGTGCTGTGTGCCCACTGACATCCCAGAAAAAGATCCAGCTAGCCCGGAAGGGTGCTTATTCCTAGGCCATGAGAATGAGGAAACCAATGGCCACGGTGCCCTGAGCTCCTTGATAAGTCAACTCCAATTGAAATGTAGTGGGGGAGGGGAGCAGGGGGAACTAGAGCAGCACAGCAGGCAGGGTTTTTGTCCTGACTGCTGCTGGCCACTCGTGTGACCTTGCCCTCTTTGGCCCACTGTCCTTTTATAAGTTGGATTGGACACGTACTGTTAGTCTCTCCCAGACTCAGGGGACAAGAATGCTCTGTCCTGTGGAATCAGCCTCCCCCTCCACATACTTCAGGAAAGGCTCTGCCTTATCAGAAGGGCACTGAGTTTAATTTCCCTCTTGTGACTGGACAGGCCTTGATATTGAGAGCAGCTTGAAACAGTTGGCTGAACGGCGTACCGATATCTTTGGTGTGGAGGAAACGGCCATCGGCAAGAAGATTGGTGAGGAGGAGATCCAGAAGCCTGAAGAAAAGGTGCCTGCCACCAAAGTGGAGCCTAGTGCTTTTCTTGCCCTCATTCTCCCATGCTTAGCTCTTTTCCAGGAGCCCTGACAAGCTGTGGTTTGCTTTCCCTTGCAGGTGACTTGGGATGGCCACTCAGGCAGTATGGCCCGGACCCAGCAAGCTGCCCAGGCCAATATCACTCTCCAGGAGCAGATTGAAGCCATCCACAAGGCCAAGGGCCTGGTGCCAGAAGATGACACCAAAGAGAAGATTGGCCCCAGCAAACCCAATGAAATCCCTCAGCAGCCACCCCCACCGTCCTCAGCCACCAACATTCCTAGCTCAGCCCCTCCTATCACCTCAGTGCCCCGACCCCCTGCGGTAAGCCCAAAGCCACCTTGTCCCCGTAAATTTCAGAGATCGATTCTCGGGCATGGACAAATGTTGGCTGAGAAGGGCAGCTGCCCCGTGGGGCGGGTGTGAGTGCTAAGTGGGTCTAGTTGAGAAAGAATGAAGTATTTAACAGAAGTTAGGATCCTGTTGCCTCATTTCCATCCTAGTGGGAGAGTTGGAGCAGGGAGAGAGCATGTTGCAAATGTGCAAAGTGCATTTGAGACTGAAAGGGCTGCAGGGCTTAACTGGTCTCTATGACTGCTGGCCCGTATCCAGGAGACTAATTTGAGGTCAGCTTCTTTCGTGATTCTGCCACAAGCTGCTGATTGACTCTGACTCACTGAGTCCCAAGTGGCAAGTGTCACCCTGGCCTCAGCACTGTCAGGCGCCTGAGGGGGAGGAGGCGATGGTCTCTCAGCCACAAGAGGCCTCTGCTGCAAGTCCAGCCCTGGCTTCCTGTGACCTGTGGATTCCCCTTCCCGACAGATGCCGCCTCCTGTCCGCACCACGGTGGTGTCTGCAGTGCCAGTCATGCCCCGACCTCCCATGGCATCTGTGGTCCGCTTGCCCCCGGGCTCAGTGATCGCCCCCATGCCACCCATCATCCACGCACCCAGGATCAATGTGGTGCCCATGCCTCCCTCGGCACCCCCCATTATGGCACCCCGCCCACCCCCCATGATTGTGCCAACAGGTTAGTGAGTCTTCTGTTATTTTCCAGGCCATTGGGTCAGGGGCTGCAGACCAGGAACAGTTGCAGAGGCCTGGCTGGTGGTAGTGTCAGCTGCATCAGCTGGGGCCCAGCCAGGGAGGGCTCTGGCTTCCCCATGTGAAGATCCCCAAGTTGGGACCTGGGGTGGATCAGAGGCCACCCTGCAGTAGCTTGTGCCATATGGCACCTGTGCTATCCATTAGCTGAGCCCTTCCTCTAGATCCCTCTGCTGGGGAAGCTGCTGCTGATCAGGAATGTCCGTTCTTACCTCTCCTTCTCCCAGCTCATGGCGCTTCCTCTTCCTCTTTTTGCAGCTTTTGTTCCTGCTCCACCTGTGGCACCTGTCCCAGCTCCTGCCCCAATGCCCCCTGTACACCCTCCGCCCCCCATGGAAGATGAGCCTACCTCTAAGAAACTGAAGACGGAAGACAGCCTCATGCCTGAAGAGGAATTTCTACGCAGAAACAAGGTGTGTAGTGCCTGAGTACTGCTGCAAGCTGGGAGGGCCAGGGGTCTGGTGCCCCTGGGCTCAGTTACTGTTCCCATGATGCCCATTATCCATGTGCCTGCCTCATTCCCTGCTTACTCCCACAATTGTGGCTTCGCCCTGAACGTAGAGCAGCCTTTTGTGGTTTCTGAGGGCTTTTGAGCAAAGACTAACATGGACTCGCTGCTTGGAGAGGCAGATAGCGTCAATGGTGGTGACACCCTCTGGTGTGAAGTATTATGGAACTCAGCAGGGAGATCCTGCTCCACAGATGACAGGACTCCCATGTGGAAGGGGTTCTGGAATCCTCGAGGAAATCCTGGGTGTAGTTGTGAAATTTCTGAGTGACTGGAGAGTGAACATACAATTCCATAAGTAGAATTCTTTTTCCAGGGACCAGCAGATAAACAAGGTGACCTTCCTTCCCAGTTCCAACCCTAGGAGGTCTGCCTGTGATGGTTGGATCCACTTGGGTACTGGTATTTTGACACTACTGGGATCCAGGCAGAAGCCATCCCAACACTCCACCCTTTCTATGGGTTTAACCAAATCATTTTTGGTTTTGTGTTTTGTTTCTTTCTCATAGTTCCTCCCATTTCTTAAGCACTTAATTCTAGGACAGGCCAGCATTTGTTGCCCTTTTCTGTCCAGGAGTCACAGTTGTACCCCTGTGCAGTTGTTGTGATCACCCATGTTTCAGATGTCGGGATTGAGACATGGAGAGACCTAGCTAGCAGAGAAGCTGGGTTTGGAACTCAGGTCATCTGACGTCTCGGTGCACACACTTTCTACACGTAGTGGTGCGGAGTTTGCAGAACTTTTCTGCACATAGCTTCTTCAGTCAGCTCCATATTCATATGGAGGCAGGGGGAGAAGAACCCAGGATCTTGAAACAGGGAGTGTCTCGTGCAGTGTCATCAATGGCTTCAGTAGTCAGGGAACAGAAGCCAGCCCAGGTGCACAAATGACTGGCTCCAAACACAATGCCATTGAGTGAATTCTGACTCATAGTGACCCTGTAGGGCAGAATAGAACTGTCCCTTAGGATTTCCAAGTCTTTACAGAAAGGAGCTCTGGTAGTTTAGGTGGTTATGAATCAGGCTGCTAACTTCAAGGGCAGCATTTTTAAATTACCAGCTGTTCTGTGGGAGAAAGATGATGCTTTTTGCTCCTGTAAAGATTTACAATCTTGGAAACCCTGTGCAGGGTCGCTATGAGTCGGAAACGACTCCATGGCATATCACCATCACCACCAAGTTTTTACAGAAGCATACTGTTCTGTTTTTCTCCTTTGGAGCACTGATGGCTTTGAACCACCAAACTTTAGGTTAGCAGCCAAGTGTTTTAGTCACTCTCCTGGCCCAGGGATGGTAGAGCATAATTTCATTGTTCCTATCATAGGCTCAGGCTCTCCAGGTATAAAGTCCACCTGTTTTGCAGGGTCCCGTGTCCATCAAAGTCCAGGTGCCCAACATGCAGGATAAGACAGAATGGAAACTCAACGGGCAGGTGCTGGTGTTCACCCTCCCGCTCACAGACCAGGTATGGGTTGCTCTTGCCAACCAGCATCAGGTTCCTGGGAACTAAAGGAGCTGCTTCCTCTAGCTGGCCTTCACAAGGGGTAAGCATTCTCTTTCTGTCCCACAGGTCTCCGTCATCAAGGTGAAGATTCACGAAGCCACGGGCATGCCTGCAGGGAAACAGAAGCTACAGTATGAGGTGAGTCAGGGTGTCCATACCCCTTGGGGAGCAGGCCCTCTGAGTCCATGTTCGAAGTGATGGTACTGGGCTGAGAGTGCTGGGGCCTGACAGAATGAGGCTTTTTTGTGGGGCCTTAGATAATCTTACATGGGGTCTTGAGAAAAACCTGTCTCAAGTGTTCGGGAGGGGGTTCTGGCTCACTGTTAGGAACCCCCCAAATAGTGTTCACTCAGGCAGTCTGGCTGGTGAGTGGCATCAGGGCTGATGGTCCAACTAACCCTGATGCCTGAGGTCCCACTGGGGTGCTGTGTGAACTGTGACGCATCCCCATTCTGCCTCTCAGCTTCCTGCTCTGTAAAGTGAGGGTGATTTCTATAGATCTTGTGGTTTGGGGATCAAGATTCCACTGGTTTAGGCAGAGTAGGCTTCTTAGGGAGTTGAGCTTTGACCCAAGTAGGAACAAAGATGAAGTGTATGAATAGGTCAAAAGGAAAGAGAATGCATTTTAGAGAGAGCCGGGGGACTCTGATCTCCTTCCAGCCCCTGTGTCCTCAAAGACCAGAGCATGAACAGGACTTCGGGACTTCTGAGACAGTTGCAGTGTGCTCAAGACTAGGTTGCTTAGGTAATGTGGCATGCCATCTGTCTTCCAGGGCATCTTCATCAAGGATTCCAACTCGCTGGCATATTATAACATGGCTAATGGTGCCATTATCCACCTGGCCCTCAAGGAGAGAGGTGGAAGGAAGAAGTAGAAGAGAGAAACCTGCCGTCAGATCCCTTCCACTGCCATTTCTCTCTCCTATCCTCCACCCGGTCCCTGTCCTGTTCTCACCCCCTAATCCCCAACCCCGAAGGCCCTGGGGCCCTGTCAGCACATTTGTTTCAGATTACCCTGAATGGTAAGTGTAACAGGACTTTCTACACTGAGTTCCTTCCCTGTGGTCCCTGAAATCCCTTTGTGTCTGAGTCTTGATCAGAAGGGATCATTTCTTCAGGATGCTTGTTAGAAACGACCGTCGTGATGGCCCACAGGTTAGTTGTATAGTGCCGGGAGGAACTGGGCTGAAGGAATATAGTTATCCAACATTAATTCTTTTGTATCTTGTCATAGGCTGTCAATAAACCTCTTGGACCCTTCTTGTGAAATCAGTGTAATGAGATTTGTCTGTTGGCCACCTGCCCCCTATGCAGCCTGTGGGTCTTGTAGCACCTCTTCTACTTTGAGGAATTCTTCCCACTATCTAATCTTTTCTGTATTAGTCTTACTGTTTGAAACAGTTTTTCAAAGCATTACTTTTTTTTTTTTTTTTTGAAACAGTCTGATTCTCCAGAGGCATAGCCATTGTACTTGTGTTTCACCCACCACCACAGGGCACCCTCAATATGCCAAGCACCACATAACAGACCAGTGAGGTGCCATTCCTTATTCATTCGGCATTGGGGACATGTGTTAAGAGACTCACCCATCACTTGAGGGCTTTCTACCAGGGGCAAGTGACTTAATTGGTGTGAGCACAAGAATGTGCAGTGGAGTTTCTTCACAGTGTATGTAATACAAGTTGTAGGGCTGTGTACTCTTCTTAGGACTCTACCAAATGTAATACATTTGACCCTCAATTTTTTTTTTTTTTAATTTTTGTGAATTGAGTGAAGGTTTACAGGACAGATCATCAGTCTCATATTTAACAAATCCCCCATTTCGTGTAGTTACTGTGATTGCAGTCCCTTCCAAGTCCTATCACTTATCAGTATTGACCTCTCTTCGCTTTAAGAGAAGTCAGTTCTCCCTGTGTCTTCCACAACTTCATCTTGCCTGTGTCAGGCTCTCTCTTGATGAGTTTATTGGCTTTCCCATCACCCAGGTTAACATGTGTCTACCCTCGCCCCAGGGAATACTTTTCTCTTCCACACCTGGTTAACATCATAGAATTATCTCTTTTACCAAGAAAGCCTTTTCTTAACTTTTCAGCAATTGAGTCTCATACAATATTTGTCCTTTTGTAGTTGACTAATTTTGCTCAGCATAATGTCCTCCAGATTCATCCATGTAACCCTCACCGTTTTAAACATTTTATCCATTTTAGTTCATGTAAGCTGTTTGAACTGCAAGGTCGGTGGTTCAAGCTCACCAGCTGCTCCTCGGAAACCCTATACAGGGTCTCTGTGAGTCAGAAGTAACTTGACGGTACTTAACAACAACAACAATCCTCTTATGACTATTCCTGTTTTCCTCTTGAGCAAACTGAGGCACATGGAGGGTGAGGCCCGTGCCCAAAGTCTCCCATTAAGAAGATGCAAAGAGAATATGCAAAAGCACTTGCCACCATTCCTGTCCCCTAGTAAGGGCCAAGCAGCAGCTGGTATTTTTAGAATTGTGCTGTCATAGGCATATGGGTGCAATGAGGGAAGGTGTTAAGAGGGAGGAAGGTGCGAGTGAGCCTGTTGTCTATCATTTCCTGCTGTTAAACCAAAAGCAGATCTCACATCTTTAGCCTTTTGTTTGCATTCTCTCCGTTGGGCTCTCAGTTCCCTGAGAGGTCATCGCCAGGACTCAGGTGAGGCCTGGTCACTCTGTCACTCAACGTCACAGAACCGGTATCTTATTCACCGCCCTCTCCCTTCCACCCTGCCACACTCAAGCCTTCCAACTATAACCCAGAAATCAGGTGGCCACTCTACTGTGCCAATTATACGGCTTCACTACAAATTGCTAGACCCCTCACATTTTTAACTTGGTTGATGGGGCATCATTTCTCCCCCTGTTTGTCTGTTGTCTCCTCCATGTTGCTGGAAGTTTCCCAGAGGGTCCAAAGCTGAAATTTCACTTCCTAAAGTGGCTTGGGTATCTCAAGTGAACCCATTGCTGGTTCCTTCTCTTGGACTACAACCAAAAATCACCCGAGCACCATCTGGTTCTAAGAAGGAAGAGTGTTTAGGAAACCTAGATGAGTTCCCCACTCCAAGCTCCCCTGTCTTCCTCAGATTGACTCAGGTGGGCCAAGGGCAGAGCCTGGGCAGGGTCTCCATGAAGAAGTTGTGACTAGTAGCCAGGAATGGAATGCCTCTAGGCGGAATGTGAGTGAATGGCTCCTTTGAGCTGCTCTCTGGGGAACATACCCAGTTTCCCAGAGTTCCTGAATGAACATCTGTCCTGGCTTGCTTTGTTGCAGAAAGCCCATTGACCAGACAGCCTTGTGACCGTTAGTGGCCACAGGCCCAGCAGGCGGCCCAGTACGCCACACTTTCTGTTTAAGGCCTACAGTGTGTGGGCAGTTTCTTGTCCTTTCCAAAGCTGCTTGCACTGCTGAGGTTTTCCACTTCTTACTGTGTTCCCTTAAGGATTATTGGCACCATTTTCTAGATGACATGGACTATATAAGGTTACAACCAGTGAGGGGCTCTGAGAAGTCAGAATAACACACTATGCCTGGTGATCACACTGTCCACCACTCAACCAGATCCACTGAAATGGGGAGAAACCTTCCTGTTGAGGCATCTCTGGGAAAACCAGGCTGAGCTTATGATCCATCCAGAGTTGCAGAATGAAGGCTCCAGGAGTCCTAGATTCAGTTCCACCAGTTTCTTGAAAGGAACAAGTAATACAGCCCATTGGGGACCACTAATGTTCAGACCCACTTCACTTTTAAAAATTATATGTTAAATATATACAATGGTTAATTGGTATTTGGAATATGTATTTGAATGGAAATAAGCTGTGAACTTTAATAGCAATTTCTATTAGGTAATCATTTCTCCCTGTAATTCAGAAATCAAAAAGGCAGACATATATAATATAGCTCATATTTAAGATCACACACAACTTATATATAAGATTTCTTGAAGTTTACATTTTATTAAAAGTAAAATGCCAGATCACAGAATTATTCTACCTGATTCTTTTGGGGATTTACATGATTGGATTTTGAAGACAGCAGTTAAAGTGAGGTACCCTGAGCTCTACAATCCAAAAAGGTAACACTCTTCCCTTAAGTCAGTAAATATTCTCTATCCCAGAGTTGTAATTTAATCAGGGTTGAGCATGGACCCAGTTTAAACCAATGACATCCTATGCAGATGTGAAGGAAGACAGAAAAGGAAGGGGGAAAAACTGGTCATAATCCTGGAGGTGAGAAATTCAAAATCTTCGTGAAGCTTTCCTACCTTTGTATTTAAACAAAAATCTGTGGGCACCATTAATTTACTTTTGGTTTAAGCCAGTTTGAGTTCTGTTGGCTGCTACTTGGACCTAAAGATTTTTGATAGATACTCTCCATGGTAGGAGCTCTGGTAGCGTAGTGATTACGAATCAGGCTGCGAACCGCAAGGTCATCAGTTCGAAACTGCCAGCCGTTCCACGGGAGAAAGATGAGGCTTTCTGCTCCCGTAAAGATGTACAGCCTTGGAAACCCTGTACAGGGTCTCTATGAGTCGGAACCGACTCCACGGCACATAACAACAACTCTCCATGTTGGGATAAAATACCTTTTGTTTTCTGCTCGTCAAGGACCGTTGGGCACCAGCAGTTTACCTTCTGAGCCTCATCTCTGCTCTCATTACAAGTGAAGACTGGTATCTGAGAGTCTGCTCATGGGCAACACACAGGTTTCCTGAACACGTGTAGCTGCACATGGCAGGATCCAGTGAAGGGGCTTACACAGAGGCCTGCGAGCACCTTGAACCTAGATTTCTGGAATAACCCTAGGAAGATGAGACTAGGATAGCCCTGGTGTAGCATTGCTAATCCTCAGGAGAGTATCCACAACTGGTCCATCAGGATACTTAACAGCATTGCCAAACGATTCTTATTTTGTGTTCTGGCGTTTGTCTCCATTCACTACTCCTTCATTCTATTCTAACCATACCATCCTCTGAAACCACTTCTCTAAGGGCTTTACACTAGCTGCTCTGTCTCCCTCACAAATTCCCGGATTACCACAATGGGTCTCCCTCATATCCATCAGGTCTTCTCAGGCTACCATTCCTACCCTTCACCCCCAGAACTTTCTCTAGGATACATGTTAAGTCCCACTGAGTTGGTTCTGAGGAGTGCCTGGTGGGTTTGAACCTTGAGGTTAGCAGTTCAGTGTTGCAGCACCACACATGGAACCCATAGGATGTATGCTGTTCAGTGCTGTGGACTTGACTCCGACTCAGCAACCCTGTACAGGGTTTCCAAGGAGTAGCTGGTGGGTTTGAACTTCTGACCTTGTGGATCACAGTCCAATGCTTATCCTATAGCACCACACCAGGAGTCCATAGGGTATATAGTACTTTTTGTACTTTATCCTGGATTCCTAGTGCGGTGCTATAGGATCAGCTCTGGATTGCAAACCACACGGCCAGCAGTTCAAACTTACCAGCTACTCCTCTGAAACCCTACACAGGGTTGATATGAGTTGGAACCAGTACTTAATAAAAGTGTGATGGCAGAAAGTGTGGTTGCTTCGACCAAATGATTCTGCAGGTCTTGTGGGCTGGATGCTCCCCTCCTCTACTTTATATCCCAAGGAGCCCTGGTAGCATAGTGGATTATGACCTGGGCTGCTAACTGCCTGGGTAGCAGCAGTTTGATTCTACCAGTTGTTCCACGGGAGAAAGATGAGGCTTTTTGCTTCTGTCAAGATTTACAACCTCAGAAAACTTGTAGAGTTTTCTATACTTGTTCCTGTTCTCCCTCCATTGGAATGAATGTAAGCTCTCTCAGGCCAAGGCTTTGTCTCATTCACTACAATAATGATGGCACATTATGTGT